GACGCCATCATGGCATTCTTTACTATTTAATGGCATGTCCATATAGATGGGTGTGCTGTGTCTCTTCATGGTGTACATTTTCCCACACAGTCTACATCTCCCGAGTCTCTCCCTGGATCTCTGCACCTGTTCCCCTCTGTCTCTCCCCCTCGGCTCTGTGGAGTGCATGGAATTTTGTTTAGAAATTATGCATATCCTGACCCAGAGAATGTGTTTCCTGTAACCATCTGTGTTTGATAGACATAGGGGGATGTGACTGGATACCTGTGGGGAGAAAATGTATGTGTCCAGAGCATGGGAGTCCATTAACTAAGTAGACTGCGGAGAAACTCTACATTTGGTATAACCGTTATTGATTAAAGACCTGCAGTATCACTTTTTCACGAGAATAGTTACAAATTTCATAAAATTGCTACTGTTTGCATAACAACATCTCCTTGAAAGATGGACAATGAGAGAGAGAGAAATCCAACTCATTTTGGGGATTTGGATACTTCTTTATCAGGCCTTGCGTATTGTGTAATCTCAGACGAGGCTGGAGTAGACTGAAATGCAACAGTAGGTATATAACATGAATTTCTGCGCAGCATTGCACAAGCTTTAAGACCACCCTCCCTTCATTTTTGGGGGCTGTTCTAGTATTTGCGAGCAGCCTAACTAAAGCAAATTCTTCATTAATAAGATGGGCTCTGACAACACTGGACACCAACATTCAAAGATCCAGCTCCCCAGAGATTTACCTTCAATTTGTCCTGGAGACCATATTTACCCAGACAGAAGGTGATGGAAAGTCTAAAGGTTTTGCATTGTCATGGGGCAGAAATGGACTGGAAATTCATTAATGGAGGTACCTGTTCCAGTTAGTTATGTCTTGGAGGATTTTCCTTGACTTTCCAATGTTTCCTCTCATTTCCGCTTTATGCTTTGGCGCTTTGTGAATAGCTGACATAGCCTGACTATGGTAATCAGCATTTTACTTCCTGTCCACTATCATGACCATGTTGTGATCTTTGGTGCACTTTAAAACTTTGGAACATTATGCCAGCCATACACTGCTCATATTTTATCAGATTCCTGCTGAGTTGGCTGAAATTTGGTTCATAGGTGGCCCATCTGGACTACTCCAAAAATCAATGGGTAGAAAATATTTGACCAAACAGTGACTCCATCCAATCAGATGCAGTCAATGTTCATGTATACAGGCAGCAGCGGGTGCCAGCTGTCTAAATACATTTGCCAGCAGGGGAGAGTCCTACATCCTTGCTGTTTTGGGGGGAATAAAGAGATTTTCTCAGCTTACAGACTGAACAAAGAAAATCTAAAGTTGTAGGGCTAGCTTTAACTTTTTGTGGTTCCATGTTTGAAGTGAGCAACAGGGCTGCATTGGTCAATCTACTGATTGACTTCTGTTCATCCACCCTGTTGGGAAATTTCTGCTTGATGATTGCTGCAGGCTATAGCTTGCAGTGCTGATCTGTGTATTCTGACAGTGGGGAAGCCTCTCCACTGCCTGAATACAACAGTGGGAAGGATTGCCCCTTCCACCTCAAATATTTGGATGGAGGAATCAGGTCAATCTTTTTTCGTTTAACCCGCTGGTTGAACAAAAAAGGCTGACTCATCTATGGCCAGCTTAAAGTGGTTGTAAACCCTCACAGTGAAGCTACTGGCCTCAGGTGATACACAGAGATGAAACAAATCCTCCTACATAATTTGTACCTGTCTATCTCCGTTCAATGTGAAGAATTTATAAAGCTTGTCTGAGTGTTTAGAAAAAAGGGGGCGGAGAGCTGAAATTGCACTCTGCAGAGCTCAATGAGGAGAGCTGATTGGTGACAAGAGACATACCCCTTCACACAGCTCACAGGAACAGAGCTTAGGCTGTCAATTTGCTGGAAGTTCCTTTCTGTCACCATTTTTCTCTTGGTGTCAGGAAAACTTGTTAGAAGTGATTCATGCTGATAGCAGAGGAACAAGGCAGCAGACACATATTGCTCTTAATTGAGACAAGTACACACTATAGAAGGATATGCTTTGTTCATATTTCATGTCTTAAGTTTATACCACTGTAACCCCTTGGTGCCAGGGCCTCCTGGCCCTTTTAAGGGGTTTTTGATGCTGGGCGGTGGGGTTTAGGGTCACGTGACTGCTATGACCGCAGTCACGATTCGAAAGCTCCTGATCACAAGTAACGATTGGAAGCTTTTCCGCTGTGCTGGGAGTGTGCAGGGCACCTGTTTGTGTATATCAGGTATGCAAATATACGGCCTCTCGGCATCAAGGCCCAGCTCATTTGCGTACCGCTGGCGTCAAGGAGTTAAGCCACTGTACTTCATTCCTACAAATCGTGTCCTCCACGAGTATACATGCACACATCTTCCCTGGTGTACAATTAACCCTGTGACTGAGCAGAATGCCTTTAATTCCCTTCCATCGCTCTTATCAGATTGCCTTGCAGAATGATTCTGCCTGCCTAAAAGGACAGAGCAAATATTGCAGCAAGGGTTGGCACCAGTACTGTGTTTGTGTATTCCCCCTTCAAGCAATGAAACAGCTGCTGAGCAGCTGTGCACATCACCCTGGGAACCTTCGTGCTGGACAGTTGCTCCAGATGTTCTTAGAAATAATTGCGTGGGGGGAGATGCCTTTCTCAATGACACCCTGTCTGAATCTCTCATCTTTCATTTGTTCCCCCCTGCCTTTTATTTCATGTGTCTTTCATATGCATTTTTCCTGCTCGCCTCATTTTCTAGAACTCCTGTTTTCATGTGCAGGAAGGTGTTTCTGTCTCGTTCTAACAACCGTCTTCCGCTCCTTCGAGTGTTATTCATTACGTTAAATATCATCTGGCTTGGAGTGAATCACACAACTGGCTTTGAAAGATTTTAGATTCGTAAACTGCCAAATTTATTTTAAAGCATGCTTGTGAAGGCACTGTCTGCCCTGAAAATTATATTTTGGTTATGGGTGGTTGAATCCCCCTCTGTCCTCTTAATATCTGTCAGAGACTCCAGCGGAGAGATACCCTCTAATGCTGGGGTTCTCCGATCTACTTTCCCATTGAGACTAGCTACTGCTGATACTGCTCAACCCTAGCGTAAAAAATGTTGCCATTGGAGTTCCAGGAAGATTATTATTATTATTATTATACAGTATTTATAAAGCGCCAATAGTTTGCTCAGCGCTGTTCATTACAAAGGGGGACAGAACATGTGACAGAACAATACCAATACAATGCAAAACATGAGGGGATTGAGGGCCCTGCTCTCTCGAGCTCACAATCTAGGAGGGAGATGATCGAACCCTCTGCTAGGTACGCAGAGCTGAAATAGACGTGTGGAGTGATGTAGACTGCTCTTTTTATTTGAATTTATTTTTTAAGAATCACATCATATGAATTCCTTTTATTGAATGGAAACCTGAATGAAAGGGCACAAACTCTTTCATGTTAGAAATACAGTACTTTGCAATTTACAGTTCCTCTACCACACTTTTTTTTTTCTGTCTTTATTGGTGCATCACATTTGGTGCCAAATAATCATCCAGTTTTTAGGTAGTATTAAGTTAGCATTAGGTTAAAGTTGTTCTATTCAGCATGAATACGTTTATTTCTAATGCTATGTCAACATTTGTGTGCCAGAATTGTAGCCTTCCTAAACACTTCCTCAAGTTTGAAGTTTTGGAGTCGCTCAACAGTACATTCCAGCGTTTCCTAATAATCTGTTGTATTTGTGGAGTCTGTTTAGAAAAAGACAAAGCCACAGGAATTCCTTTGGAGAGTTGTCTGTTGAGTCTCAAAAAGATGGGTGATCTAAAGGATAAACCCACTTGAGAGAGATCTCTCAGTATGGGGGTAGCCCCATTTTACAAAAACCTTAAGCTTAACACTAGCTATGCTCAAAAAAGCAGCATCAGGAGCCCTAATTTTCCATGTTCGAATGAACTGGCTATACAGCAAACCCATTTTGAGACTCTTATGATGGAAGCTACCTTTATGCAGGTAAGTATTGCGATCGATTGGTTTATGATACAAGTTCGTCGTAACTTTGCCTTGGTCCTGTGTGACTAGCACATTAAGAAAATACACAGATTATGTAATTTTACTCAAGGATGAATTGAATATTCGCAGCAGTTATCCAAATATTCTTTCAATTGTAAAAGTAGATTTTTGAAGACCCTGCCATATGTAAAGAAAGCATCATCAAATTAGCGCCACCATAAGCGAACTTGCTGTAAAAACAAAATCTTGCTGTGTACAAAGTTTTCTCAAAATCAGCCATATATAGGGTGGCATAGCTGGGTTCCATTTGTATCCATGTATTCCTTATAACTGTGTTCCAGCAGTTATAAGGAACCACTCCTTGGAAACTGTTGGAAAAAACCGGTTCTGTTATAAGACTTTTTACAGTCATTTGTGACGCAAACTTTACTAAGCCATCTGGCAGGTTAATGAAAAACATCACCTTCCTAATAGCCATTAGCCCTTCATCAGGAGGAGTAGAGATATAGAGGGTGCTGGCGCTCTAGTCTCTCTATGATGCTCCAGGTTCTGGGCAGGCACTCTGCATCCTTACAATTCAGGACTGCTGGCCTTGCATTGTACAAGATGATGTCAGAGTGCCTTTGGCTGGCAGAGTGGCAAAGAGAAATGGTATTGGGGGATGGGAGTAAGTCTGCAGTATGGTAAGTATAGCTACTTTTTATTTTTCCCCTGGATCAAACCAGCTTTTAACCTTTGGAGTGCAAGGGAAGCACCTCTTCAAGAGAGATTTTTTTTTCTTCCTGGAGTTAAGCTGGAAGTCAAAGGGCTCGGGTATGGGTTAAGTGTTGAGGACTGTTAAAAGGGTAACTTTGAGGTTTGTGGCTTAGGGTCCTCTGATGAACTGTTATTTGAAGGATTGCTTTTTGGTCACCATGGTGCAGAATTAGGAGTGACTTCCTGTCAAGTTTTTATTTGAATTTTGTTAAAATACTATTTGTATTTCAAATCCTTCTTGAAGGCACTCAATATCCTATGCTCCTTTTTTTAGGGAAGGCCTTTGATATCACTTATGTGCGTCTGAAATTCCACACAAGTCGGCCGGAGAGCTTTGTTTTATACAAGAGAACGCGAGAAGATGGCCCTTGGATTCCCTACCAGTATTACAGCGGCTCCTGCGAGAACACCTACCAAAAACTCAACCGAGGCTTCATCCGTACTGGAGAGGATGAACAGCAGGCACTGTGCACCGATGAATTCAGTGACATTTCACCACTGACCGGAGGCAATGTGGCTTTCTCTACTCTAGAGGGCCGACCGAGTGCTTATAACTTTGACAACAGCCCTGTATTGCAGGTATGTGACCTGGTTGTAATTTATTTTGCTTAATTCACTTGACAAAGTGTGCCCATTCATTAAAGGGATACATTGTAGGAGTTTGCATGTTAAATAAAAAGTGTCTTAAGACACTTTTTATTTAACATGCAACATGTCATATTTTCATGTTGGTGTTTTTAACCACTTCCCGATTGTAGGACATCCATGGATGTCATTAGGTTGAAGGAGTTATACTGGGATGATGCCTACAGGCAACATCCCGGTATCAAAATTTGCAGCCGGCGATTCCCTGTAATGCAGAAGTGATTCAACTGGCTAAACAGCCTATCAGTCACTTCTATGGATAGTAGAAGGGGTTCTCCCTCCCGTCACCTTTCCCATTCGTGGATCCCAGGAGCGATGCGACTGGCTGCACTACACAGAGAGCGACTGACCTTGTTTCTCCCTCTCTGTGACGCTGGAAACTGCATTGGAGGCCAGAGGAGAGCTCTGAGGTCTAATAGTAATAAAATAAATGTAAAGTGCCCCCTCCTCCCATGCTTACGGGCAAATGCGAATGTATACATATGTCCCACATGCATTTGTAAACTGTGATCGCACCACACTTGTGAGGTATCATTGCGAACATCACAGAGAGAGCAATAATTTTAGTGCCAGACCTCCCACGCATCTCTAAACTTGTAACCTGTGAAGACGTTCAAAGGGTTGGCAGTGGAGAGTTTTAAGTACCATTCCACGGGCATAAGCATGACATGTTGGGTATCCATTTACTTGGTGTAACATCTTATGTTTTTCCACAAAATCGTGTATTATTTTGTGTTTGCTTGCAATAAAATTAATATTTTTTTTTTTTTGTTTTTTTTTTCTTTGCTTTTGAAAAACCGCTGCGCAAATACCATGGGACAAACCATTGCAACATCCATCATTTTATTCTATAGGGCCCCTGCTCTATATATTTAATTTTATATATATATATATATATATATATATATATATATATATATATATATATAATACTTGGGGGTTAGTTTTCTAGCAAAAAAAGTAGATTTTTACATGCATGTGTGAAGAACTCACCCATAGGCAAATGGTTAAATAAATGTTCTAAGTGACAAATGCTATGCAATTTGTTGTGGCCTTCAGTCCAGGCACATTGACCTGGATGGATATAGTTTTTTTATTTTACATAAATTTACATAATTTGTGTGCAACAGTACAATTTCTGTACAGACTGTGCACATATATACATACTGTACTGCGGGTAAAATAAGTATTGAATATGTCACCGATTTTTCTTGGAAAATATATTTAAGGTGCTATTGATATGAAATTTTCACCAAATGTCAGTAACAACCCATGCAATCCATACATACAAAGAAACCAAAAAAATCAGTTCAGAAATTAAGTTATGTGTAAATAAAATGGAATAACACAGGAAAAAGGTATTGAGCATGCTATGAAATGTATTTAATACTTCATACAAAATCCTTTGTTGGTAATGACAGCTTCAAGATGCCTCCTGTATGGAGAAACTAGTCACAAGCATTGCTCAAGTGTGATTTTGGCCCATACTTCCACACAGTCTTCAAATCTTAAAGGTTCCGTGAACCTCTTCTATGAACTCTGATCTTTAGTTCTTTGCATAGATTTTCTATTTGGAGTCAGGGGATTGGTGGGGCCATTCTAACATCTTTATTTTCTTTGAAACCAGTTGAGAGTTTCCTTGGCTTTGTGCTTGGGACCATTGTCTTGCTGAAAAATCCACCCTCATTTCATATTCATCATCCTGGTAGATGGCAGCAGATTTTTATCAAGAATGTCTTGGTACATGTTTCCATTCATCCTTCCTTCAATAGCATGAAGTTTCCCAGTACCGTATGCTGAAAAACAGCCCCCCACACTATGATGTTCCCACCTCCAGATTTCACTGTTGGTATGGTGTTTTTGGGGTGATGTGCGGTGCCATTTGACCTCCAAACATGGTGTGTATTATGGAAGCCAAAGAGTTCAACTTTGGTCTAATCTGACCAGACTATATTCAACCAGTATTTCAAAGGCTTGTCTAAATGTTGTGCAGCAAACTTTAAACGAGCTTCAACATGCTTTTTCTTCAGCAGTGGAGTCTTGCGTGATGAGCGTGCATTCAGGTCATGGCGGCGGTTCAGGGCATTACGTATTGTTTTCTTTGAAACAATTGTACCTGCTAATTCCAGGTCTTTTTGATACTCTCCACAAGTGTTCCTTGGCTCTTGGACAACTCTTCTGATAATTCTTTTTACTCCTCTGCCAGAAATCTTGTGAGGAGCACCTGGTCATGGCTGGGTTATGGTAAAATTATGTTCTTATCACTTCCGGCCCCAACAGTGCTCACTGGAACATTCAGAAGTTTAGAAATCCTTCTATAACCAATGCCATCAGTATGTTTTGCAACAATAAGGGTTGCAAAGGTCTTGAGAGAGCTCTTTACCCATCATAAGACTTTTTTTGTGTGACACCTGTGGTAATGAGACACTTTTTTTTTTATAGGTCATTAGTTGAGACTGAACCAGCTGATTTTAATTTGCAGGGACAAGGAGCAGGATTGCTTTCTAACTACTGATAGATTTCAGCTGGTGTCTTGGCTTTCCATTCCTTTTTGCACTTCCCCTTCTCCGTGTTCAATACTTTTCCCTGTGTCGTTCCATTGTATTACACATAACTTAATTTCTGTAATTATTTGTTTTGGTTTCTTTGTATGTATGGATTTCATGGGTTGTTACCGACATGTGAACATTTCATGTCAGTAGCACCTTTAGAAATATATTTACCAAGAAAAATGGTGACGTATTCAATACCTATTTTACTCGCTGTACATACATACAGTGAAGGAAATAAGTATTTGATCCCCTGCTGATTTTGAATGTTTGCCCACTCACAAAGACATGATCAGTCTAAAAATCGAATGGTATGTGTATTGTAACACTGAGACAGAATGGCACCAAAAAATTCAAAAGAAATGCATGTCTAACAAATTATGCACTGATTTGCATGTTCATGAGGGAAAGAAGTATTTGATCCCCTATCATTCAGCAGGATTTCTGGCTACCAGGTGTCTTTCATACTGGTAACAAGCTGCGATTAGAAGTAGTCTCTTAAAGGGAGTGCTGCTAATATATCATTTTGTTACCTGTATAAAAGACACCTGTCCACAGGAGCAATCAAACAATCAGATTCCAAACTCTACACCATGGCAAAGCCCAAAAAGCTGTCCAAGGATGTCAGGGACACGATTGTAGACCTACATAAGGCTGGACTGGGCTACCAAAGTATCGCCAAGCAGCTTGGTGAGAAGGTGACAACAGTTGGTGCAATCATTCGCAAATGGAAGAAACACAAAACAACTGTCTCTCTAGGTCTGGTGCACCATGCAAGATCTCACCTCGTGGAGTGTCAGTGATCATGAGAACAGTTAGGAATCATCCCAAAACTACATGTGAGGATCTTGTCAATGATCTCCAGGCAGCTGGGACCACAGTCACCAAGAAAACAATTGGTAACACACTACACCAACAAGGATTGAAATCCTGCAGTGCCCGCAAGGTCCCTCTGCTCAAGAAAGCACTTGTCCAGGTCCATCTGAAGTTTGCCACTGAACATCTGAATGATGGAGAGGAAGACTGGTTGAAAGTGTTGTGGTCATATGAGACCAAAATAGAGCCCTGTGGCATCAACTCAACTCGCCGTATTTGGAGGAGGAGGAATGCTGCCTATGACCCCAAGAACTCCATCCCAACTGTCAAACGTGGTGGAAACATTCTGCTTTGGGGGTGTTTTTCTGCTAAGGGGACGGGGACAACTGCACCACATACGTGGACGGGGCAATGTACCGTCAAATCTTGGGTGAGAACCTTCCTCTCTCAACCAGGGCATTGAAAATGAGTTGTGGATGGGTGCTCCAGCATGTCAATGACCCAAAACACACAACCAAGGCAACAAAGGATTGGCTCAAGAAGAAGCACATTAAGGTCCTGGAGTGGCCTAGCCAGTCTCCAGACCTTAATCCGATTGAAAATCTGTGGAGGGAGCTGAAAGTTCGAGTTGCCAATGTCAACCACCAAACTTTAATGACTTGGAAAGGATCTGCCAAGAGGAGTGGGCCAAAATCCCTCCTCAGATGTGTGCAAACCTGGTGGCCAACTACAGGAAATGTCTGACCTCTGTGATTGCCAACAAGGGATTTGCCACCAAGTACTAAGTCATGTTTTGTGAAGGGGATCAAATACTTATTTCCCTCATGAACATGCAAATCCGTGCATAATTTGTTAGACATGCATTTCTTTTGAATTTTTTGTTGCTATTCTGTCTGTGTTTTATAGTACACCTACCATTCGATTTTTATACTGATCATTTCTTTGTGAGTGGGCAAACATTCAAAATCAGCAGGGGATCAAATACTTATTTCCTTTACTGTATATTTATGGGTGGTAAAACAATGTATGGTTTCAAAACCTGCTGTGGATTTCTTTGACTGACTTTTTTTTTTGTAAGTTGCTTCTTGAAACTGTTTTTTAGTCCTCATTTACTGTTTTTTCTTTTGGACAGTTCTGTGAACTTCTTTACTGGTTTGTTGTGACTTAATCTTGCTGCACCATGAGGAGTAACTGTTTTCTTTTCTAAGAAATAACTTACTGGTACAGGAGTGATCAGAAGGTGGATGGAAAACACTTAAAGCTTAGAACAGGCACCTTCAGTTGCTTGCATGTCTGGCTTGATCCTCTGTTGTCTATCCCTGGAGCCCTGATTCCAGGGGTGCACTGATTTGCAAATAGCAACTGGCTTTTGTAAATACCAGCTCTGGTCACTTGTTGTTCGTCACTGTGGGTCCATTATTGTGATGCCCGGCCTCACGAACCAATACCTAAATGTAGGAGGTGGTGGTTGCCAGCCACAGAAGCTTGTTGCATATCAGATTTCCCCAGTTTTTAGGACTCCCAGCATTGGTGTACCTAGAACCTTCAGGGCTCTGGTGCAGGAACCATGAAGGGGCCCCCCTGACCCCCGGCCGGGGCCCTTCCCTCCAGGCTCAGTGGATGAACCCCAGAGCCCGGTTGCAAGTATCTTAGATTGTGAGCTCTAATGAGCAAATCCCTCTGTTTCCTCTTATACCAAATTGTATTGTAACTGTAATGTCTGCCTTCATTTTGTAAAGTGCTGAGCAAACTGCTGGCACTATATAAATCCTGTATAATAATAATAGTGAGATCTTGGTGACCCTGCTAGTTCCGCCACTGGTGTCAGTAGTTTGTTTTTTTTCTATTTATTTAACTTTTTTTAAGTATTCTATTTTGCAATTTTTTTAGGAGCCCACTGAGGGGGGGGGGCTTGTGTGAAATAGCAGGAGTCTAAAATGGTAGGAAAGAAACAAAAGGGAAATGAAGGAGGGAAGAAGGAAAGAAAGAAAAGAAGGGAAGGAAGGAAAGAAAAAGGAGGGAAGGAGGAAAGGATGGAAAGAAAGGAGGGAGTCCCTCTTACATTACAGTACTCACTGGGAGGCAAAAGAGAAAAGAGGGGGGGGGGGGGGGGGACTTCACTCGCAGGGAATCGGAAGACTGCACCTTTTCCTTTCTCCCTGGGCTTCATATTTTCTGTGGGCGGGGCAGACAGGAGCAGGGGGTGGGGTGGGAGGAGGAGGAGCAGAAGCAGTTCTCTCTCCTCTCCTCTCTCTGGGGGAGGGGGGGGACTGTCAGCGCAGAGCAGAAGCAATTCTCTCTCCTGTCTGGGGGGGAGGGGGAACTGTCAGCATGGATCAGAAGCAGTTCTCTCTCCTCTTCTCTCTGTGGGGGCAGAGGAACTGTCAGCATGGATCAGAAGCAGTTCTCTCTCCTCTCCTGTCCGTGGGGGAGGGGGGAACTGTCAGCATGGATCAGAAGCAGTTCTCTCTCCTCTCCTGTCTGTGGGGGAGGGGGGGAACTGACAGCATGGATCAGAAGCAGTTCTCTCTCCTCTCCTGTCCATGGGGGCAGGGGAACTGTCAGCATGGATCAGAAGCAGTTCTCCCCTCCTCTCCTGTCCATGGGGGCAGGGGAACTGTCAGCATGGATCAGAAGCAGTTCTCCCTCCTCTCCTGTCCGTGGGGGAGGGGGGAACTGTCAGCACACTCTCTCTCAGGAGCTCAAGGCCACTGAATGCCTGTTTCTCCTCCTCTCCCACAGGTGAGAGGCTGCAGGAGGAACATGAAGAGATCAGTTCCTCTATATGCAGTCGCCCCCTCCGCTCCTCCCATCCAGGCATACAGGGGGTCACATGGGCCCCCTTCAACATGGGGCTGGGTCGCAAGTGCAACCCCTGTAGCTACGCCCCTGACTCCCAAGTAAAATGCAGACTTATGGAGGGGCTTGCTCTACAATGTAAGTGGCAAGATGTTTGGTTTGCTTCAGTCCCAGTTTTTTTTGTTTTCATGACCAGGAGCAATGTACGGTAAACCAAAGCAACCAATTAGTAAACTGAAATCTGTTTTTTTTGGGTGCCGATTTTCAGCCATCTTTCTTTGCACTTGTACTCCAGCATTGTGCTGAAGATTTAAATGTATCCACCACATTGTTTTTTGTATGTCCACCAACATAAACATAACTGATCAGACCTCTCTGCTGTTTATTTTTTGTGTGTGTGCAGGATTGGGTAACAGCCACAGACATCCGTGTAACTCTGAACAGGCTCAATACATTTGGAGATGAGGTGTTCAGTGATCCCAAGGTGCTGAAATCCTATTACTATGCCATCTCTGACTTTGCAGTAGGAGGCAGGTAAGCTGCAATGCACATGCTGTAGATGCCTATGCATGCCTAGTAGTCTCCTCTTTCAGTAGGTTATTTTGAACCAGGGTCGGGTTGCTCTGTGTGGATTGATGTGGGTGGTCACAATACTTTAACAGGGCAAGTTGTCTAGCAGCAGCGTGAACTGTTCTTGTGGATGCTGACCTCACTTCCTTCATCTGGAATGCCTGCATTCATTCCATTGTGACCTGGCCAACTAGACTGTAATGACACATTAAAAGAATATTGTGATCAGAGGTAAGGGGGTTTCTTTTCTCCGGTTAGACAAATTTGGAGCTTGTCATATTTTCAGAATTCCGTTGTTAGAGATTGTATAGTTTTTGTGAAAAATATGTATTTTTGTTATATTTATTGAATAATGGTGTATATTTTTTAAAATGTTGTTTGAGCCTGCTCTACACCAGGCTGGACCTAAGCTGGCCAATGATGGATTGAAATTCAGCTGGTCCATGCCATGTGTGACTGCCCTTCTCCCTACAGAAGTTGATCGATTCTGTCAAAGGGATATGCTGGAAAGCTTTAGACGATGGACAGCTAGAGCCAGTTAGGTGCAGCCACTGATCAGTGTATTCTGACAGCAGAGGGTCCTGCTGTCAGAATGCATTGTCCCAGTGGGGGGCTTCCCCATCCATCTCATTTGTGGGGATGGAGGAATCTGGTGTTTTTGGGTTTTTGGGTTTTTTTTCCTGCGTCCTGGCTGAATGCGGGAAAACTAAACTACCCATCTATAGCCAGATTTGCTGCTGTGAAAAGCAATAATAGTTTGCTTATGTAGTGAGTAGTAGGAGATCAAGCTACACGTTCACAAATTGCAAGAAGGATTCTCCTCTTTTCCACTCTATTAGCAGATATGGGCAGCACTGTGGCTAAATGGTTAGCACTTCCGCCTGACAGTGCTAGGCTCGTTGGTTTGAATCCCAACCACAGCTCCACCTGCCTAGAGTTTGCATGTTCTCCCTGTGTCTGTGTGGGTTTCCTCCGGATACTCTGTTTCCTCCCACACTCCAAAGATATGCTGGTAGGTTAATTGGATCCTGTCTAAATTGGCCCTAGTATGTGTATGAATAAATGTAAGATAGGGACTTTAGATTTTATGCCCCTTGAGGTTTAGGGACTGATGTGAATGTATAATACAGTTAGGTCCATATATATTTGGACACAGGCACAATTTTAGTTTTTTTTTCAGGTATTTACCAAAACATATTCAAGCTATAGTTATATAATGGATATGGGTTGAAAGTTCACACTCTCCAGGAGGTGGGCGTATCATTGTCAAAGTCTTCAATCAATAGAAGACTTCATGAGAGCAAATACAGAGGGTTCACCACAAGGTGCAAAACATTCATAAGCCTGAAGAATAGAAAAGCCAGATTAGACTTTGGCAAAAAACATCTAAAAAAGCCAGACCAGTTCTGGAAAAGCATTCTTTGGACAGATGAAACTAAGATTAATCTGTACCAGAATGACGGTAAGAAAAAAGTATGGAGAAGGCTTGGAACAGCTCATGATCCAAAGCACACTATGTCATCTGTAAAACATGGTGGAGGCAGTGTGATGGCATGGGCATGCATGGTTTCCAGTGGCACTGGGTCATTGGTGTGTATTGATGATGTGACAGAAGACAGAAGCAGCCGGATGAATTCTGCAGTGTTTAGAGATATACTGTCAGCCCAGATTCAGCCAAATGCAGCAAAGTTGATTGGACGGCGCTTCACAGTACAGAGTGACAATGATCCAAAACACACTGCAAAAGCAACACAGGAGCAGGGGCGAACTGACCATTTGGAAACTCGGGCACTGCCCAAGGGCCCGGGGTCAGTAGGAGGCCCCATGAGATGCCCCCTGGTACCTTTTTCATAGGCTTTTTTGAGTTTGGGCAAGGACACAAGGGCCCCATGATCCCCTATTGCCCGGGGGCCCCATGAGTTGTCAGTCCGCCCCTGCCCAGGAGCTTTTGAAGGAAAAGAAGTGGAATATACTGCAATGGCCGAGTCAATCACCTGATCTCAACCCAATTGAGCATGCATTTCACTTGTTGAAGGCAAAACTAAAGGCAGAAAGACCCACAAAGAACAAAGGAAGACAGCTACAGTTAGAGCCTGGCAAAGCATCAGAAAGGAGGAAATCTAGTCTCTGGTAATGTCTATGGGTTCCAGACTTCAGGCAGTCATTGCCAGTAAAGGATTCTCAACAAAATATTAAAAATGAACATTTTATTTATGATCATAATCGTCCAATTACTTTTGGTCCCTTGAAAAAGGGGGGATGGCTACTCTTAAGAGCTGTAGTTCCTAAACCCTTCCTCCTATTTGGATGTACATAGCCTCCAATTAAACCTGAGAGTGTGCACTTTCAGCCCATGTCCATTATATAACTATAGCTTGAATATGTTTTGGTAAATACCCGGGGGAAAAAAAAAAAACAAAACTAAAATTGCGCTTGTGTCCAAATATATATGGACCTAACTGTATATATGTAAAAGCGCCGCGCAAAATTGACTGCGCTATATAACTACCTCTGATAAATAAATATGGCTTAGTATTTAAGCTTAGTACTGTCAACTCACTAGCCGTTTTTTATCTCTATTTCTGCATATGTTCACATACTGTATGTTGTATGGAGCTCAAGCAGCGCCAAAACCAATGTTGACCTGGCTGACTTTTGAGTTCTGAAATTATGCTAATTTCCAACTCCTTTCTCATCTTCCTATTGGACAATGAGGCAAGAACATCATTTCCACCCCCTTTCTCATCTTCCTATTGGACAATGAGACAGAAAATCCTATATGTGGTATAGTAGTAAAGTTTAGGAGTCAGGTCAAAGCATGATTTTAGTTCCTGTAAATTCTATTTGTATATGGGTCACTCTGGGTTTGTGACTGCTGAATTACTTTACAAGGTATTACATTACACGTTTAGACATGCAGTCCTTGCTTGCCAACGTTGGTGAACTGATAAAGTAACCATGGGGTCAGTTTAAGGGTATGCAAATTCAGTAGTGTTCAGTATTCCATGTCATCCAATCAGAAATCAACATTCCTTACTGAATGCAGGCTAAATACTTTGATCCATTGCAGCCATTCCAAAATCCTCTTTCCGTAAATTGATATCTGCTAGAGGGCCACAGCACAGTACAGACCAACATTAGTGAGTAAATCTGTGAATGGCTAAAACTGATTTCAGGATAACTGATTAATTTTCACCCTTGCGGCAATTTTATAAAACTAGATTTCACCAGTTGTAACTCCTTTTTATGCTGTAGCAGGCCATACATATGTTCTGGTATGTAATTGCCCTGTACATGTGTATTCCCACACATCTAAGGGAACATTCATAGGAATGTGTTCTGTAAGCACAAGTGAATCGGCTGCAACTGAACGTATTGGGGGTAGATTTACTAAAAGCAAATAGACACTGTAGCTGCACTCATTTTCCCCAGAACTTAGTAAATGCGATAAAGCTGATTTCCATCATCCAATGATGTACAAGCAAAAATGCACCTTGCGCCTGATTGGATCTTTAAAAAGTGAAGCTTCACCACACTTATATTTACTAAGAAAAAGGAGTGCAAGTGCACTTGCAAACTGCATGGTCTATTTTCCTTTAGTAAATCAAGCTCGTTGACTCTTAGTTGGTGTTCACTGTCATTTTACATTGATTACCTAACAAAAAAAAAGTGAGCGTGTGAACATGAACTAGGGGCTTTAGATTATAGGCTCCTCGAGGGAAAGGGACTGATGTGAATGTACAATATATATGTGAAGTGGTGCGCTATATAAAATACCTGTAATAAATAATAATGTTGCCTAAATGCTACATTCAAAGCACAGATAGATCAACCTGAGCACTTTGTCATTGCTCTTAGCTAAGGATGCACCGATGCCCTTTTTTTTTTATCGGCAAGTATGAGTACTGATACTTTCAATCAAGTACTCTCGGATACCAAGGATTGATGCATTGCGGTGTGATTTGCATCCATACAAAGTGTATCGACACAACTTGCAACACAAAGAATAGCATGCGATTTGAACAGGAATGCGATTCCTGTCCATATCGCTTGCAGTTTCCCCACAGCTCCTGTGTGAACCCAGACTGTCAAAGCCTGAGTTCACACAGGAGTGGTGCAAAGCGGTTTTCCCCAGCGGAGAGTGGGCGAGGGGGACGTGTGGGGATGTATACTATGGTGGCAGATGCTCCATATTCTCAGTTTTTTACATTTTTCTAAACTTCAAACTTTTTAATACCCTTGGGTTTCTCCTCTCCTTGCAGGGTTGACAGCTTTGACTAGGGGGCTTTTGATTGGTCAGCACCATCACATGGACAGTGCTGACCAATCAGATGCCATCTGGCCCATACTGTTATCTCTGCAAGGAGAGGAGAGAAAGCTGCTTCACAGCTCTGGGGATTTGAAATCCCCACGGTTTTCTGTCCTCTTTAACAGGCCGCCTGTAGTGGGACTGGATACTGCACCTGTCCCTCCTGGGCATCCTGCAGCTGGACAGCCCTGTGTGCAAGGAGCCTTAGGCTGGCCAAACACTATACAATTTTCTTACAATTTTCTGTCCAATTTCCTTTAGATATCTACCTTCAACTATATAGTGCACGGGTCTGCCTAATTGGCTACAATTGAAAGTGTTGTTTAGGTTTGACCTTGTATTCTATGGTTTTTGGTAAATCTAAAGCAAAATTCTCAAGTAAATTATATAATGTATGGCCGGCCAGCCTTAGACTTCTTTTTGATGACAGATTCTAACCATCTATTTAAGGACCATGGCATTTTGGACAGCCTCCCGCTAGGCTGATGGAACCTCAATAAAAACCTGTGGCTTGGTTTTGGTCGTTCATACAAGGTAAAAGTGTAGTAGACAGTTAAGAGGTTAATGAGGGGAAAAAAAATCATCTAGCAGCTAAATCTCTATAGTGGTTTAATATAATGCTTCTTCCCCTTGAATCACCCCTTGCATGTGAGCAGTCTTCCTGCATTTGTTCCAGCAACAGTGTGTATGGTTTCTCAGGATACTCAGTGACAGCAGCAGTTTTTGTTCTCTGTAAAAACATTGTTGAATCATCCAACATTTGTAGGGTGGAATTCCTCTTGAACTCCTTTGTGTAAAGCTAACTTGGACCTTCCTTGCTCTCTCTCTCATTTTCAGGTGCAAGTGTAACGGACATGCCAGCGAATGTGTTCACAATGAATTTAGCAAGCTGGTTTGCAATTGCAAACACAACACATTCGGTTTCGATTGTGAAAAATGTTTACCCTTCTTTAACGACCGACCCTGGAGGAGGGCAACCGCTGACAGCGCCAACGAGTGTCTCCGTGAGTGATCTGTTTCGTAATTCTGCATTAGTGTCTCTGGATTATTGGACACAATATTTTTTCCACAGCTTCTCTAATGCTGAGGATTTGTCACACAAGTCAAACATTTGCTTGTTCATCCAGCATGCTTTTAAAGTCCGTTTACACTGATAGCAAAGTGCCACATTCTTGTTGTAGCTATTAAAGTAGAAAACTCTACATGGTAATGACTAGTCTGATGAGGTGATATTATTCTTCTCACTAGGGGAAATTAGGGTTGCAGAAACAAGTCAGAATTTGTCTCAGCTAGACCTCTGTTCCATCCCCCTTTTTTGGAATTTAGGGAATTATACATTGACTAATTCAGATCTTTCTTTATCTGACCACAATACCATAATATAACAATTTTGTGAGGTGACATTGGGTGTATAGTTATTTGTCTATACCAGTGGTTCTCAACCTGTGGGTTGCGACCCCTTTGGGGGGGTCAAACGACCCTTTCACAGGGGTCCCCTAAGACCATCAGAAAACACATATTTCCAAAGTGTAAAGAGCAGCTACTGTGTAGAAAGCAGCTGCTGTGTTGAAATCAGCTACTCTGTTAAAAGCAGCTACTGTGTTGAAAGCAGCAGTATTAGAGGTAAAACGACACTCATGAATTATAATTACTGGGTAAATAATTTTATGGTTGGGGGTCACCACAACATGAGGAACTGTATTAAAGGGTCACGGCGTTAGGAAGGTTGAGAACCACTGGTCTATACCAACATAGAGAACTGGAGTAGAAGGCCAGGGAGCACATTTCCACTGATTTACAAAAAAAAAATAAAAGCTATTTATGGCATTTCCAGGCAAAAACAGTAAAATAAATTATTTATTAGTGGTAGACTATAATAAGAAAAAAGCTGTGACATTTCAGTTGGACTTTAAACAGTTAAATCATCCAACTGCTGTCTGCCTCCAGCTACTCCTTGTGAAGCTGGTTCTTATTTAACTACAGTACCGCAGTTGGCTAAACACCAGATTGCTGGTTCAGTTGCAGTCCTTCCACTTAGACTTTAGGCTAAATAGAATGTTTCCTAGGCAAACTTTTCTTTTCGAGAGGCACCCACTGTGAATTGTGGGATTCCAGTATGGGGGAACATGCCAGAGCTCAGCATGTTGAGGATATTAAGAAGTGTTTGTGTTCTTTCTGGGTTTTTAACCTCTGTCCAAAATGAAGCAGCAAAATGGCTCCAGATATACTTTAAAGTGCAACGCCACACAAATGGGGAAGTTCTGCTTGTCTGTTCTGCCACATGTACATTTTGTGGTGGGGAAGCGGGTACCTGGTTTTCGCAGGTACCTGCTCCTACTTTTGGGTCAGATGGCTGTGGCGATCTGAGCTGGAAGTTTGGCCCCCCATCCTAATCCCTGCAGCCTTTTGTGAAACTTCACAGGTTTTAGAAGACTGCTGCCCACTTACAAAGTACACTGCGTTTCACGCATGCGCAATAGGAAACCGGCTGTGAAACTGGTTTTCCTTACTGAAGATGCTGGCGCCAATACCCAAAGCTGACTGAAGAATCGGCTTGGATGAGGACATCGCTGGACCCGCGAGACAGGTAAGTGCCCTTCTATTAAAAGTCTGGGCAGCTACAGTATTTGTAGCTGCTGACTTTTAATTTTTTTTGGGGGGACCCTGGTGCTCTGCTTTAAACACATATAGGGACCTTTACATTGTGTAGTTTCTCTACAAAAAAAAATTAAAATAAAATAAAAATCTTGAGCAAATATGGATGACAACTAATTTTATTTTAAATCTCAAAACTTAAAGTTGAACTAAATTCTCCTGTCCTTCACAGTCAAGGAAGCTGCCATCTTTACCTCTGTTTGAACTGCAACTGCCATTATGCTACACATGTGATCAGTTATGATACCAGCCACTTGATGGCTTGACAGTTTGAGAGTAGAAGCTGCTGTGATGATAGATCATTCACAGTATGCCTTGAATATAACTGTTTTGGGAAATATTTAAATTTAGGGGTTTAGTTCTGCTTTAACTGAACAAGTTGAATTTAGAAGTTTATAGTTTGCCATGTCTGGATGCTCCAGATACTTTTTTTTTTTCTACCCTAACCAAAAAGTCAGTTTGTGCTTTTTATATGTAATATGTACTCTGCTATATGTTGATTTTTACGTTACTCATTGATCAACTATGTATAATCTATGAATTCTACAAATCTTTTCTTTTTACACACATCTGTTCTGTTTCTCCTTTTTCTCCAGCCTGTAATTGTAATGGTCGCTCCCAGGAATGTTACTTTGACCCAGAGTTGTACCGTTCTACCGGCCATGGTGGCCATTGTAGTGGCTGCTCAGGCAATACAGATGGTCCAAACTGCGAGCGTTGCAGAGAGAACTACTATCGGCAGAATGACGACGAGCCTTGCCTGGCCTGTAACTGCAACCCTGTTGGTATGTGAGAACATTTTTAAAGTGTGCATCATTGATCATGGATTTGATAATTACCAAATGTATTGCTGAGTTGTTTGCACTAAATTTACTGATGTGAAAGATAATGTCCTCTATTGGGTTTTCTAAACTTTTAAAAATTTTTGAATCTGTATTTTACTGTACTACAGACTAGCTCTAATATACACTCTTGCTTGTAGTAATTTTTTTTTTTATTTCAGATCAATGCTTCTAGATGTTCATGGAATGGGTATTTCATTTCTAAGATGGTATTGCCTAAAGCAAACCTGTACTGCGAATAATATGGAGGATAGCATTGCTTACTACTTTAAAAAAAAAAAAAAAAAAATTTAAAATCTTGCTGCCTGCCTTAGCTTTCAATACTTTCAAGTTAGTTTTCATTTCTTAGAAAGTCCAAAATGTTCTGCAGTGTATTATAATATGACACTTTTTTAAAATTATTATTTATGTGTACTTGTTCTTGTACCTAATGCCAGTATGATGGGTTTCTTTTCCTGAAGGTACCTCTGGCTTCCTGCAGGATGGCCTGGCTGTGTCTTTTTAATCCTGCTTTGCTTATTATTAGCCACTCCTGACCACAACCAGAGGCTTGCCATGCACTGGCCTGAATGAGCAGCCTGGCGCCAGGTCCTGCTTTTTCAGAGTATCGCATGGAGTACACCTAAAAAGCAAGGAGGCTACGGACCATGCTGCTGGGAAAAGGTCTTGTCCTCCGGAAATGTAACCCATCATCTTTGTCATTTATTCCAGGTACTGAAGGAACAAATACAAATATGTAATCAATAGTGAAAGTGCAGTTATACTTTAAATGTCTATACAAAAAATAAAAATAAATATCAGTTTATACACTTTTTAAATATTCATAAAGCAAAGCTGACTAAAAACCACTAGCTGTAAAGAGGAAATGATCACCGCTACTCCCAACCAGCCCAGGTTAATAAACGATAAGAAGCGGCCTCAGCCTGCATGTCTCCACCAAACCACAAACCACCTGCAGGCCTTAGTCATGGGGCCTATGACTAAGCCCGCGGGGGGGCGGAGCAAAATGCATGAGGGTGTTTGGTGGGTACATGTAGGCTGAGGCCGCTTCTTAGCATTTATTCACCTGGGCTGCTGAGGAGTAACGTTGATCCTTTCTTCTTTACATTTACTAGCCCTCTAGATTTGGTTCTGGGACACAATGATATGCTCTCAATTCTGCTTTGAGAAGTGCCAAAAGCAATAGAACAGGGTGCAGTGAGTAAAAACCAAACACTTTAGAGCAACTTGACGCTGCAAGTTAAGCCGTTGACCTGCTTATGCCCTCCTTGAGACCCTATTCTTATATTTGAATCTTGAGCTGCTTGCCAGTATCGCACTGAAGTTTACCCCATATAGCTGCTCTGCATGGAGCTGCCTTGAAACTAGTTACCAGACTGAATGGTAAAGAATAGCTATTTTATATGCGGCTTCTAAAGGCTGTCATATAGGGGTTGAATCCTGCTAAATCAGTCAACATTCAAGCCATGGATGCCCCTGTTGGCACCACCCAGTTCGACAAAAGTCTATTGAACAATTGACTATTGTCAAAGGAGCCAGATGGAAAATTATTGGCCCAAGGCAGGCATGTAGTCTCCATTTGATCCTATTTTTATATAATACATTGCAGACAGAGTAAGCAGTATTCTCATTATGCTTCATGGTCAGATTGTAGCGCTTTTTGCATCCTATGATTCTGTGCTTTAAAATCCCACCATTGGCCTTACCCAGTGAACACACTGATTTGCATTTTCCATAGACTTATATACAGGGCCATTAATATAGAGACAGTTGGAGGGCTATTTTGGTACCAGGATAAAAATTGGAGTAACAGCAGAGCAGAGGCTGTACCACCAGAATCCGTTTTAAACCAAATTCTCATACATGATTTGGAGGGAGCGTAAAGGCTTCTTACACGCAGGTGATCTAGGTAGAATCACACTCGGAACACATGGCTTCTGTGATGAAAGTGAATAGCTCTCCATAATCAGTAGTGCAGGCCAGGATCGTGATGACGCAATAGAGAGTGAAGTGAGCACTGTTGGCTCAGGACACCTTTTTATCCCTTGGCAGATCAGTTTGATTGCTTGCATTGCTAACATCAGGCCTTGTTTGGCTTTCCTGGCAAGCAACTTGGCACTATATTCTTTACGTAACAATACACATCAGTGAATTTTACCACTTCATCATGTTCTCCCATGTCCTTTGTTTGTATAGGTGAGCCCTGCTTTCCGCCTCAGTACTGGAGTTTATTTTCACATCCCCAACTATAAAGTCTCCCCCTGGGCCTGTAACAAATAGCTCAGGATTCTGTAAACACTTGGGCCTAGTGGATGGTGTCAGGCTTTACACAGCCATGTAAATAAGCATTTCTGCTGCCTGTAAACAAAGGAGACCGCACACTGTGATTATCTGCTGGATTTGGCCATTGCAGGAAGATCATTCCAAGTTATCAGCAAATTCCTTTTATTTTTCTTTGTTGCCACTGAAAATGGTCTCCCAGATAGCTTTTTATTTATAATTTAATGAATACATTTTACTTCTAAACAATTACAGATGCAATTTTTTTTGCATAGGGCAAAATATAACTGAAATTTGTTCTACATATTGATGTCATATTGATGTCATATTGATGTCTCCCCTGATGTCTCTTCCCATGTATGGCTACATTTTCGTGAAGCAGGCAAACAGCTGATTAGAGATGTGAAGCATTAGTTTCTTATTTTTGGAAAGTTTGTTTGACCAACTTACACTGTAGACAAATGGTTGATATTTAAGGTTACCACCTTTCCTGAAAAATACCAGCTGTTGATCTCTTTTCTATTGATTACATTGGCACCACTTCCCATTTCCTCCGGTTTAAAGATGATACATCCAGGATCCCCTATGTAAATGGACACACAGGCTCCTTTACCCCCGGTTCACATATTTGCGGCCGTGTGGGCTCCATTTTGCATGGGCACGACAGCCCATTCATTTGAATGGACTCCTGTGCCCGTGACACGCAGGGAAGAAGTCCCTGCACTTCTTTGGAAAATGCAGCCCGCATGGGAACCTCGGTTCCAAGTACAGTTGCATTTTCCAGTGTGGAAGGCGTGCCATTAGAAAACTAATGGCACCTGCCTGCGGGTCCGCATTCCTCTGTGTGGGTGGTGTGGCTGCAACCAACCGCACAGATTTGAACCTAGGGTAAGTTATCTTCCTGCCCTGAAATTGTCTGGTCCACTTCCTCTTAGAGATTTTTCTAGGGCAGCTGGGTATATGGTGGATAAATAGCTGGCTAATTACTACATTCATCTCTGAATTAAATTGACTTATGTCTATAACTCACATGATATGACTGGTTGGTCCATCATTAGATTCACTTAGACAAGGTTGTGAAACGCATCATAAGAATTATGTTTTGCTATTGCTTTTCAGGCATGCGTTGTTTATCCAGTATATTCCGATCTAGGGAATGTTGTGGGTTTTTTTTTTTTTCTGAGTTCTACTTAAGGGCTAGTTCACACCATCCCGTATCTGAATTGCACAGGAAAGCGCCACACATTCCTTTGTGATTCAGACTGCATTAAAAAAGCACTGCATTTGCGATCTGCAGCGTGTCAAAAAGTTAACACCACCCCAAAATCAGGTCGCAAACACAGTGCATTTGCCTGCACCAGATCTCATAGTACTTTTGTTGCAGTACACTTTAAAAAGTAGTATGGGCAGCACAGTGGCTAAATGGTTAGCACTTCCGCCTGGTAGTACTAGGGTCGTTGATTCAATTCCCAACCATGGCACTACCTGCCTGGAGTTTGCATGTTCTCCCTGTGCCTGCTTTGGTTTCCTCCGGGTGCTCTGGTTTCCTCCCACACTACAAAGACATGCTGGTAGGTTAACTGGATCCTGGATCCTATCTAAATTGTCCCTAGTATGTGTATGTATGAATGAAAGTTAGGGACCTTAGATTGTACGCCCCTTGAGAGTTAGGGATTGATGTGAATGTACTATATTATATATATATATATATATATATGTATATGTGTGTGTGTGTGTGTGTGTGTGTGTGTGTGTGTGTATGTATGTATGTATGTATGTATGTAAAGCGCTGTGTAAATTGACAGCTGAAATAAATAGTGCATGTGCTACTTTTGGTGCTGTGCGATTTCAGCCCATTCAAAAGGAATGGATTAAAATAGCACCACACAGAACTGCATGTGAATCACACAGGAACGCACAGCGCTTTCCTGGGCAATTCAGGTGTGGGCACGGTGTGAACCTTCCCTTAATCAAGATAAACTCGATTCACATCTATGGTGGTGGGGGTGCAGGAAGCACAGCGATTCTCGCAGCCTTGCGATTTACTGGCCATTGCGTTTTTAGAATAGTGCAGGAGCCATGTTCCTGCTTGACACTCAGGCTGCAAACCTGCATAGATGCGAACCAGGCCTTAGTGGAATTGTGCCTGTAGTGGCTAGATGACTTGGTCTTTTTAGACTTAGCAATTTTATACAGTGTTTATAAGTATTGAGCTTTTGTTGCCTGATCTTGCCAAAATTGGGACACCTGCAGATGTTTGTAGGCTGACAATTATGTTGGCTGTTTTCACCAAAAGGCTATTGTTTCTCAGAAAAAAGAGCCAGTGTTGTCTGCTCGGCTCTGACATGCAGACTCGTAGGACACAGCTATATAAATTTCTGTGTGCTTCTTTCTGTAAGAAGGATTTTACGGCTTAGCCCACTTGGAAAACATCTGACTTGTGTCTACTGTATGTGGACAGATTTAAAAATAGGTGCATACATTGTCTGCTGCTCTTATTGTTTTGCCTGTTAATATTTTTTCATAACTCCTTTACTCTGCGCAGGCTCTCTCAGTACCCAGTGTGATAACCATGGACGGTGTAGCTGTAAGCCTGGGGTGATGGGTGAGAAGTGTGATCGATGCCAACCTGGTTTTCATTCACTCACTGAGGCTGGATGCAGGTATTGAGCTCATAGAAAATAAAGTAAAAAACATTTCGCCTATTCGGCTGCTGCTTTGAAATACAGATCTATTCATGAAGTTGTTGCTCGGGATCCTAAGTGTTTTCTTTTTCTCTTTTTTTTTTTTTTTTTTTTTTTTTGTTCAACAGACCATGTGCTTGTAACCCTGCTGGAAGTACGGATGAATGCAATGTGGAGACCGGACGCTGCAGCTGTAAAGATAATGTAGAGGGCTTCAACTGTGAAAGGTAACCGTGTGAGCAAACTGATGCTATCCAGTGGTATGTGCTGGGCATCTGTTGTTTATAATTTTGGATTTTAGAGGGTTTTTTTTTTTACCTTTTTTTTAAAGTGGTTATAAATGCAGATTTTTTTTACTTTTAAAAATAATAAACATGTTATACTGCTGTGTGTAATGCTTCTGCACAGAGAGCCCCGACTCCTCTTTTCTGGTCTGTGGGTGCACACAGTCCGGGTAGGGGTGCATCCACACGCGTGCCCCCATAGCACACGGATTGCTTTGGGGACATCTGCAGGAAGGAGTGCTGGCAGGGGACTTCAGTAGAGGATACAAGGGGCTTTCTGTGCAATTCCATTGCGCAGAGCAGGAAAGTATAGCCTTTTAATAAAAAAAAAAAATAAAAGGGCTTAAATATCAGTTGAGGCTGGCCACACACTTAGTCATATTTTTTTGCCAGAGCACAGAAAAAGGTAAGTATTACACCTTATACCTCATTTCCTGCATTTAATGAGCATTTAAGCCCCGCAGCAAGAACAGTTTTTTTGTTGTTTTTTTTCCTTGTGTCCCAAGTTTTACAGTAAGGATGTGCATTGTGCTGATATTTATTTTTATATCATCTTAGGTGTAAGCCAGGATTCTTCCACATGGATCCAGCAAATACTCGAGGCTGTACCCCATGTTTCTGCTATGGCCACTCTTCTGTCTGCAGCAGCGCAGAAGGCTTCACAGTCTCCACTATCACATCCACGTTTGAGATCGGTAATTATCTTCTACAGCTGTAAATTCTATCACCTTCTAAAATAAGCATGACAGTTAATAAAGACCACCTGATTCCCCCAGCTACTGTTTCACAGTAACCACATCCTCTGTGCTTATAGCTCTAGATGATTTGTTACTTACACACTCTGCTTTGTACTCTTCCAGTGCAGCTTTTCCCAGAATTTGCCCACTCAAATTGCTCCTTAGATGTACTACATCTGATAGATACTATCTTGGCCAGAATCGTGTATACTGGCATTGTTATGTCTGGCTGTGGAATACTGGTCTAAACAAGATAATACTTTGCTACTGTGTGAGTGTATCAAATTTTTTAATCACAAACAGCACAAATCAAGTTTTTTTTTTTTCCGATTCTGCGGAGCTGACACCCGTCTGCTGCGACTCTGACTTCCTGTAAAGTCACAAAGCAGACACAATAAAAAGCTTGTAAACCCAGTTGAATAGAAGTTGTAACTGCTGTTCTCAGGAATGAGACTGCCACACACACACATACATAGTCTGTGTGACCTGTAAATGCTTTGAACCATCAAAGTCCATTATTTTCTAAGTACTCTTTTCCATTCTTGCTAAATGTCCTATTCTGCAAGCCTAGGAGAATATTCTTTGATCCACTGCAGTACATTTTAAAATAATCCTGGTGACCCTGTTTTTGCCTTTAGCCATTTGAATGATCTTGACATGTAGTGATCTTAATGAATTTCAGAATTCATATTGAAAAGTCTCTCTGATTGGTGAAGGATTGTTCTATGTATAAGGATTGTACTATGAATAAAATGGATTTTGCACAGATTTTCATTGCTTGGGTTCAGCTTAGATCAGCGCACAGGATATTGCACTGGAAAAATCTATGTTCTGCTGTGTGTTTCAGATGCAGACGGCTGGGTGGCACAACAGAGGGATGGTGGTGAATATCTTCTCACCTGGGTTTCTGAATCCAGCTCGCTGTCCGTTACTTCAGAGAGCTACTTCCCCATCTACTTCATTGCTCCTTGTAAGTAAAGATCAATCACTCATATGTGGAATGTAAAATAATCTTCGATTAGTATTTGTTAGGTAGATTGTAAACATGCCTGTAAGACTTTCTTTCTTTTGTGATTGCTGGTTTTAAACATGCATATATAATGTAGATAAGCATTCAGCACTTTAAAGCAAAGTCCAGAAAACAAATGTGGACCCCCAGGCAGTTGAAGTCACAGTGTGCTAGTTTGCAATGCATACCAGAACATTATGACAGACTTAAAGTGTTACTAAGCCCACGGTAAAATCAGTCTGTATATGCAGTAACGCATGCTTGTTTTGCTCACTGTGAAACCTAAGGGGTTAATCCTCTGCATTGTGTAAAGGCTGTTTTGATCCTGTCTTTTCTAATCCTCCCCTTCTACTGTCCCCAATCCATCTACTAATAGTACAGAGCTCTAAGAGTCACTTTGCACATGCTCAATTTAGTGTGTATTGCTAGAAGGTTGTTTTTTCTTTTTTCTTTGGGAGGGCGCATGTGGTCAGCACAGGGTCAATCAGCACTGTCCAGACATGGTCAGGGGTAATGCAGCCCCATAGGACAGTCAGAGCAGAATGAAAACTCACGTTTTTTAACCAGTGCTTAGCTGGGCACTGTTGGTATAGGTACATGAAGCTAGAAAAAAGCGACAGCACTTTGGGTATTAACTTCTCTAGGTTGTAAGTGCTAAGAAGCAGGACCCTCTGTTTCCTCTTGTACCAAATTGTGTTGTAACTGTAATGTCTACCTTCATTTTGTAAAGCGCTGCGCAAACTGTTGGCGCTATATAAATACTCTGTAATATTAAGTGCGATCTTTGTGACCCTGGTAGTTCCGCCACTGGTGTCAGTAGTTTTTTTTCTATTTATGTTTTTAAGTATTATTTTTTGCAATTTTTTTAGGAGTCCATTGGGGGGGGGGGCTTAGGTGAAATATCAGGATTCTAAAATGTAAGGAAAGAAAGAAAAGAAGGGAAGTAAGGAAAGAAAAAGGAAGGAAGGAGGAAAGAAAGGAGGGAGTCCTATATAAAGCCTGTATAATATTATTATAATAATTATGATAACCACTGCTGCTTACAGAATTTTCTCTCTGAGAGAATTGTCTAGAAAACATTCTTGAAGTATTCAGCTGCATAGTTTTATAGGAAAGTGTAGCCCTGGTTAACTGGAAAACAGCCTGGGGCCCTATTTATTTGAAATGGGGCAAAACCAGCAGAAGGTTGCATGCCGCCCAAATAACACCAGTTGACATGCCAGTTTTAAAGTGTTGCAGAGTTTCACATTTACCGTAAAGGAAGATACTGCCTTTTGTTGCTTATCTTATTTTAACTGTATGCGTACATTATTTAAAGCTTATCTGTGCTTATTAAAGCAAACTGCCTTTGTGAGTGCTTTTATGATGGAAGCTGCCATTTTTTTTCCCTCTCTGTCTTGCACTAATCCAACCAGTGAAACCGTATGTATTCATATAGGAAACATATATTTAATGTTAACCTACGGTACCATGGAGTCTTGTTTTTGCTCATTTAAGAATGTGGTCTTTACAAAAACATTTCCAACTCTTAGAATAAAAAAGCAGAACGTTCTCTGCAGGAAATGAATACATTATTAATTCTGTTATCGTGAACATCTCCTGAACTCTGGTGAAATATTATTTGTAGCTGGCAGTCAAATTATATGAAGTAAGGGAAAAGAGGTGCAGTTATTAGGATGTGGTTTATTATGTTAGAAAGCCATTGTGTCCGGGTCACATCTGTTATTTGCCCTGACATCTAGTGGAAAGAAGCAGTTCAGCAGGCACTAAGGAATGTTCTGTAGACTGCTACCAAGTTTGGTATCATCTACACCAGCCTTTCTCAACCTTTTTACTCCAGAGGAACCCTTGAAATATTTAGGTCTCAGAGAACCCCTGCAAAAAACTAATTAGTTGTCACTCAACAAGAATAATGCCCTTACTTTGGTGGTCAGTGGGAAGAATGCCACCAGAACAGACAACTAAAAAGATCGTTGGTGTCATGCAGCTGGCTCTGTCAAGTGGTGTAGACCCCAGAACTATGCCAACTTCATCGGATGGGAGCCACAGCACAAGGGACACCTAGCAAACTGGAGGAACAATGGCTGTTCTACATTCAGAGCTGGAAAACCGGGAAATTTTGAATAAAGTAGCCCAGTAGTGGCAGATTAGCATAGTATGTAAATAGATACAAATTCCGCAATTACCTTTCAACTTTCTATGTAGAATGTGCGGGTAAAGCTATATACAGCTCACATCAATAAAAGAACAGTGTTTTCAAAGGGACTGGGAATTACAGTTTTGTCATTCAAGTGTGCGAGAGGTAAACACAAGGCTGAGCTATTTTATGCAGAAAAATGGGAGATGGGTTCACAGAAAAGGAGAAGCTTTAGAAACACTGAATGTTATGAAGGACCAAGATTGGCAATGGACCCTAATCATGGTTTAGGTATTTTTTCAACAAACTTTTAGGGCAGCACCACATATTTTTCTTCACTGTGTTTTATTATTGTTATTATTATACAGGATTTATATAGCACCAACAGTTTGCTCAGCGCTTTACAATATAAGGGGAGACAATACAGCAACAATACAGTTCAATACAAGAGGGTTAGGAGGGCCCTGATCCTTGGAGCATGTTTTCGAGTAGATCTAGGCCATTTTCTGTATACTCATTGAATGTAATGTCCAACAACAGTTTGAAATGCATCTAATCAAATGGTCATATATTTGGTTACCAGAAACCTGCCTACTGGACCTATTTTTGAGATATTCCCTTATGATTGTAGCAAAATTTTATAAGTACTTCATTTGTTGATGGGAGAAGAGCCACACGCACACATGCCTCCCAACTTTATATTTTGTGGCTAGATAGGTTAACACGGCCATACATGGATCAAAAGATTTGATCCGTATATGGGCAGGCTGATTGTACCCAAGTCGATCCATCGATCAAATTGGGCACAACCAGCCTGTCTGATCTCTTGATATTCGATTACTGCCAGTGGCTATAGTTGCTAGCAGTAACCATTGTGTTCTGCCCACCGAGAAGGCGCCTTGTACTCCACCCTGCAGTCAAGAAACAGTAGCACTGCACAAGGACATTACCCTATCAACACTGCCTATGTTGATGGGGAAATCAAATGATTTTCTGTCCTTTTACCCGTGGGTAGAAGGAAAGAAAATTGAGTTTCTATGGGCTGTCTATTGGGTCCATCCAAATTTTTTTTTTTTTTTTTTATATAAATATGGGGGGGGGGGGGGTGTAATCATCTCACACCATAGCAGACTGTCCTAAATGCTTTGATTTATGCATGCCTGTTACTGTATATTTATATGTTACAATGTTTTTTGCGGGATCTCCTGCCTTGAACGTTCCTAGTATTTTAATAATATTTGCTATAAATGATGTGTAATGTCACATCGCAGTCCTTATGTATTGTTGTTTGTACACACTATAAAAAAAAAAAAAAAACTTTTTTGCTTACTCTATGCAGGATCTTGTGTTTTCTTAAATCTGATCTTTCTTATTTGGTTTTGAACACAAAATTTTACAACAGACACAAGCAAACTCACAACGTTGTGCAGCACGCAACAATATTACAAAAACAATGGTCATACAGTGAAAAATTCACACTATGTAGACATACGACTTACAACAAGTAAACCAACACAAATGGACCGAATACTGTATCTCCTTCCCATTGTATCCAGCTGCACCCATCCTCTCCCTGAACAAATAAATGGACCTTGTATTTTCTAGTTGCAAATGTAGACTGACAGCACAGAAAATGTATGTTAAATTAATGTAAAGCTCCTTACTTTATTTATTTTTTTTTTAACGTGCCTGTTTAATTTTTGCATATTGCAAAACAAGCTGACCAAGAAAGGTAATATTGACTGGTTAGGACCAACTAGTACATTGCCTTGGGTGTTTGAGCAGTTGAAGCAACAGGTAATTCTAAACAAGATCTAAAGCGTATTTGAATAAAACATGTATGTACCTCCAGCAGTGTTCTAGTTCGCCACAATCCCTGTCGCCAAGCCCCCGTTGGGCAGGGTTAAACGCGTCATAGAGCTTGGACTTAGCCGAGTCAGTTTGAGCAGCGTCCTGTCTTCAGTATGCTTACACTTCTGGATTGGTGTACGTAGATGCCTACTCCCATGTTCTAAGTACTGGTGGGGAGATCCTGAAGCCTCCAGCTTGGAGCAGCGCTACAATCCTTTCGTGACAACAACCCGTCATTGTCACTTATGCAGGACAGTTTTGTCGGCATGTAGATGTGGAGAAAAATATGACAAACATAAAATAAATATGTAATGATGGTATGCATTATATACTTTAATTGTATACAGTTATCAAAATACAGGATTTGTCAATAGATTGGTCCTAGAGTCAACTTAACCTCTATAAAGGCATAAAAGTGTGCACTGCCTTATAATTTTCCTAGTTGCCTGGCATGATGTGCGTTTATTCTTAAGATGTTCCTTGACAATGTCATAGAAAATATTTTAACAAACCGGTTTCATTCAACCTTTGAACTTATTGCTGATTTTTCCACTTTGTTTTAGCCAAGTTCCTTGGCAAGCAAGGCCTAAGTTATGGGCAGAATCTAACGTTCAGTTTCCGTGTGGAGCGGAGAGATACTCGGCTGTCTGCGGAGGATCTTGTACTGGAAGGTGCCGGTCTCAGGGTCTCTGTACCCCTCATTGCCCAGGGCAACTCCTATCCCAGTGAAACCTCCCTGCAATATGTTTTCAGGTAAGCCGGCTGTGTGTTCTCCAGTCATTGTCCTGTGATGTATGGGGGGAGATAAATACAAATGCTTTATGGACTTTGGATGTTTAGATTTCAGTGACAGTGTTTACAAGCAGACATGTATTAACGCATTCCTTCCTAGAGATCTGGAATTGAAAGATGGAAGTTTAATTGCAGATCTTAGACAGAAAAAGGAGAGACTTGTGCTGTGTAGTTGTCTCCTGGTTTCTTCGATGGATGGTGATTTAGTTTCTGTTGCTTCTTTCTTTGGAGTGAAATAATGCAAGGAATTTATCAAGTTCCTCCTCAGCAGATGTGGAGACAGGCAGATCCAAGGCAGAGGAAGGGTTAATCTATCATAAATTTCTCGAAAGCTTAAACCCCAAGACTCTCCTCAACTCTTGTGAACTTTCATTTCCATAAATAACTGTACTATATGGGCATATCCCTACCATCATCCATCTTTCACCTGATCCCACTTACAGGGTGTCCAGCACTGAAACATTTGATTCTGAAATGCCATGGATCAAGTAAAATCATTTTACAATGTCTGGAAATGTTAAACATTTTACAGCTTGTCTCTTTGTTGCATTTTTCTGACCAATTTAGTTTGGTAGGGAATGTAAAGTCAGTAATAATATAGCTATTACTTTGTTCTCCAGTAGGACATGTTGCCAAGAGGATGCTGTTGGCACAAAATTATGTGTCAAGCAGAGTCCATGATAGCAGAAAATCTTAAAATGAATCCCGTTAGGTAAAGTCGATACCTTGATGGCCTGTACAGAAGTAAGAGGAAAATCATGATACCAGTGTTTATTATTTTGTAATGAGCAAATTTAATAGGAAACTCCTTTAAAAAAAAAATTCTGAATTTGCAAATCTTAAATGAAACCTTCATGAACCTTTTCCTTTTTGTAGCTAATTTTACAAAATTATATGAACTTGTCTTTGTTCTGGATTTTGTGTATGCTGCCAGATAAGGGCACTTATATAGTTTTAGTCTTGATGCTCTAGGGGAGCGCTCTCTCGCTCTCATATTCTTACCTCAAATGCTTTGATTTCTTTTGTTCACCCCGTCAATTGAATGAGAGAAAATGATCAGATTTAGAGAATTAAACTGGACGGAGGTGTGACGGAAGAGTAGGCAGGACAGAACACACAGAGAAGATGGAGAACACACAAAGCTTTATTGAGACAACAAAATGAGTCACTCAATGGGGAAATGGCAGGAAGGGTGATCTGTGCGCAAACTAGGGACGATTCCTGGCACGGGGGTCTTGCCAATAGGGGGGTGACAGCGAGGAGGGGCTAAGATACCTGTAGTCCAGCACCAAGGGTAAAGGAAGAGTCTCTGTGGCGGATTGTAATCTCACAGGGGGCAAGGGTCATCACAGGAACAGTTCAGGTAGAACAGGGTATCGTCCCAGCAGCAGTTCAGGTAAAACGGGAAAGAATGTGCCCACGGATCCGACAGGGTGTCTGGTCCCCCAAGGATAAGAAAGTAAGACACAGATACCTGTTGGAGGCCCGGGACAAACATGGGGTCTCCAGCAGGGTGGCTTGTGCGGTCTTCCCCCCCCCCCCCCCCCCCCCTTTGGACTGGGGTCTTCGGCAGCAGGCAAACAATCTTCCCCCTCGGGCTGGGGTCTCTGGCGACAGGCAGGCAACCCACCCCTGGACTGGGGTCTCGGGCAGTAGGCAGGTGATCTCTTCCCTAGGCTTGGGGGGTCCCAGGCAGAGTCAGGTCACGAGGGCCCCGCCGCAGCTGGGCTCCCTTCGTGACTGCAGTGCACTTGGAGCCCAGCTGAGGCAGGACCCTCATGACCAGGCTCTGCCTGGGACCCCTCAAGCCTAGGGGGGAGATTGCCTGCCTGTTGCCCGAGACCCCTGCCCAGGGGTAGGTTGCCCGACTGTTGCCCGAGACCCCTGCCCAGGGGTAAGTTGCCTGCCTGTTGCCCGAGACCCCTGCCCAGGGGTAGGTTGCCTACCTGTTGTCCGAGACTCCAATCCGCTGTGCAGTCACGGAGGGAGTACAGCTGAGGTGGGACCCTCATGACCAGGCTCTGCCTGGGACCCCCAAGCCTAGGGGGGAGATTGCCTGCCTGTTGCCCGAGACCCCTGTTGCCCCAGGTAACTTAGCCCCTCCTCGCTGTCACCCCCCTATTGGCAAGACCCCCCGTGCCAGGAATCGTCCCTAGTTTGCATACAGATCACCCTTCCTGCCATTTCCTCATTGAGTGACTGTCATTTTGTTGTCTCAATAAACCTTTGTGTGTTCTCCATCTTCTCTGTGTGTTCTGTCTTGCCTACTCTTCCATCACAGGAGGAATCTCCCGTACTTTGCTGTTGTAAACAAATAGTAACTACATCGGATGTAACTGCATCCATGTTTATTCAGCCAGGTGGTGTCAACAGGGCCACCTATAGCAGGGATGTTGGCCAATTTAACAGGAGCTGGCTGAAATTCTAGTTGGTTATGGCTACTATAAGAATACTAGGTGCCTGGTTGTCAGAAAGTCAGAGTGAATTTTGAACTCCTGATCTACAGATTTTTTCCAGGATAACGACCCCAGAAATACTGAAATAATTGGTACAAGACCAGTTTTATTTAATATTCTGCTGTCGTTCATTTGTCTTTCATTATTCTTTGAGCAAGAACTTATTCCAAATTGCTTGGTTAAAGAACTTTAAGAAATGCATATTGTTTACTTCATTCCAAATGGGGTAGTTTCCAGGCCTTTATCCTGATCCCTGTTTTCAACTGCTGAGTGTAATTATTAAAGCAAGAGGACTAGCATAATCTGAAAATGCAATTGGTATTTTCAGAAGGTGGATAACAATGGAAGCCTCCATATTTTTCAGATTCCCTGTAAGATAAGTTAGAGGAAAGAATAGTCACATATTCAATAACATGCACTTTAATTGACACTGTCTGTATCATGAAGCCTGACTTGATATCCTGATACCCTGGTAGATGTCATGGTTTGTAAGTGTTTATTTACTAGTAAAATTAAAGGAATGGAAAACTACAGCATACATCAGTGTGTTCTAAGTGACCATGTTGTTTCTTCAAGTACCACAATTTTTAGAGTTAAAACTGAGTTCCAGGCTCCCCAAAAAAATTTATTTTTATATAAGGACACTCTAGCTGTCCAGGGATCCAGAAATGTCCTCACCCGAGCCGATTCTTCAGTAATGGAAACCAGCTCCACAGCCGATTCTTAATGCACATGAACGAAGCGCACTGCTCTTAGCAAATGGTCTCGCAGTGTCCCAGAAGGCTGCAGATGGAGGGGGGGGGGTTTGTTGAACTTCTGGCTCAGATCGGCGCAGCGCATCTGACTGGAAATGGAAGCAGGTACCTGTCAAAACCAGGTATCCACTCCCTGACCCTAAACCCCCCCCCAAGTGCCCTCTTTAAATAGCAGGTTGAATGACAGGAAAATTATGTGTATGGGCAGCATTAGAGTTTACTTATTGTTCTGGAAAGTGCTGCTATAATTTTAGTATTACAAATGTCTAAGATGGCAGTTTCCATAGAAAGTAGTCTGTTTCACTGCAGTTGATTTCAGATAAGGGTTCAGATTTACACAGACCTCTGCTCTTTTGTGAAAGTTACAGCCTAATTCTACATTTACTGTTCCTTAAATAGTTCATTTGGGCCAAGCTGGCCGAAACTATTTTCTGCACTAACAGGCACACTTGCAGGACACGCTGTATTAACACTATGTAACCTCAGCTTTGTACCGTATACAGTTCTGTGTTTTAGCAATTGGACAGAGACCTCTGTCTCAGTCTTGGAACAAAACAGAGTTGGGCTGAGAACTCCTCAGCCATTCACGAGAAGAATTGTATTCTGTGAATGAATACAAAGCTTCCTCTGATTAGCTGACGATGTATGACGTTACAATCTCCACCTCAGCCAATCGGAAGAAACTTGGAAATAATTCATATAGTACATAGTTTCTTGAATGGCAGCCCTTAGCACGACTCTATTTTATTCTGGGTGTAGAGTGGGAAGTCTTTGTCCCACGGCTTGAAACACAGCACTGTATACTCTATGTACTGGAGGCTCCATACAGCAAGTGCACCTGTTAGTGAAGTAAATAGTTTGTTGTGGCCAGCTTGGCTATTTACTATTTAAATTGGCATTAAACGTGGAGTTAGGCATTAAGGAAATGTGTATTGTAAGTCATTGAAAAAGCCCTCTTATTGTTAGTGCAAGAGATTAGTTTTATTAATGAAACTCTAATGATCTGATGTGTACTTTTCAGGTTACATGAGGCTACAGATTATCCATGGAGGCCATCTGTATCACCATTTGAGTTCCAGAAAATGCTGCAAAATCTGACTGCCATCAAAATCCGAGGAACATACAGTGAAAGAAGTAAGAAAAGGCTACCAACTGTGATCTCTAATGTAGTCTGTCGCTTATTGTTGAACCAGCTATTTCTTGTTAAATATTCTGTATAATTCTAGAAGAGAGGGTACATGGAAATGCTTTTCTGCTTTTTGCTGCAACAACTGCCAGGAACTAGCTGGGAATCCTCATCCATTAGCCTACTTTATTGACTTTGATGGGAGCTTGTTGCATGATGCTGCCCACCTAAATACCATGTCTTTATTTGCTAGTGAAATGTGAATTATTCATAGCTACATGTCTAGCTCAATTTTTCACATCATTGGAATGAACACCATTGCTGTGCGTTTTTTGATAAGTGAAATCCTTGTGGAAAAAAGCTTCTGGCATTAAAGACCCGGCATTAGTCGTCCTTCATGTAGTTATCATGTATTGTTGTTCTGCGGGAGAACGGACAGCCGTGTAAAGTGGATTTTAAATGCACTACTTAAGAATCAGGCAACCTGCAGCTTTTGGCTATTGTGAAGCTTATATTACTTGCCAAGCGTGCTGCAAGTTATTCAATGACAGCAGCTGCACAGAGCCTGGTTGCTAAGCCTGCACAAATAACTCCATGACTTCATTTGAAACTTTCCTCTGCTTCATCTTCAGATCATTTTTTGGGGTTTGATTCTCGGCTACGAGGTTATTGACCTTCTTTTTGTTTCTTCTTCTGTGCAGGTGCTGGTTTTCTGGAGGAGGTTTCCTTAGTAACTGCACAGCGTGGTTCTGGCGATCCGGCACCTTGGGTGGAGGTTTGCAGCTGTCCTGTTGGATATATCGGACAGTTCTGTGAAAGCTGTGCTCCTGGCTACCGGCGAGAGAACCCCAACCTGGGTCCTTACAGTCCCTGTGTGCTTTGTACATGTAATAGCCACAGCGACACTTGTGACCCTGAGACAGGTGAGACTGAAAACAGCAACTCATTTAAAAGATGCTAAAATTCTGGATTGTATCCTGTATGTGAGCAACTGCAATGCATAACAGTATGGGACTTGCATGGACAAAAGTTTTTTGCAGCACCTTGGACAATCTTTTTATTCACTATAACAACTTTTCTCTGTGTCATTAAGTGCTTGTTGTTGCCCTATAGGGGAATCTTGCAGGTAATGTAACTTTACAAATATTTGAAACACTCTGTGGCATTTATAGATTGAGTTCAGCAAAGGCATTTCGAATGCACCATCACATTCAGCCACCTTCTGGTATCCTTGTGTTGCCTTGTTCATTTTCCTACATTCTACCACAATGTAAACTTGGCAAGGTCCATTTGATTAAACTTCTGTGCTAATTGGACTGCCAAGGGCAGTGGATAGTGAGATCCAACAAAATTGCATGTTGCTTATACAGTGTTGTGTCTATTCCATCTCCTTATTCTGTGTCACCTTAAAACAGGGCTTGAAAAAGCCGCTCGCCAAATGCGGGGAGAAATTCCTCTGTGGCGAGCACAGATGAAGCATGGAGCGACTGCACCTGCGCTCCAAGCCTCATTGTGAAGCCATGTTCCAGTTTACAACTTCCGGTTTCCGGCTTCTTTGGCTCCGCTGAGAGGAGGCACCCTCCTACTGTATATAACATGTCACATCACTATAATGGAGTACAGGGGAGCTGGGATATACATTACTCAGTAATGTATATCCCAGCTCCCCTGTACTCCATTTTAGTGATGTGACATGTATACAGTAATGTATTTCCCACCTCCCCTGTACTCCATTATAGTGATATGACATGTATACAGTATGTATCCCACCTCCCCTGTACTCCATTATAGTGATGTGACATGTATACAGTAATGTATTTCCCACCTCCCCTGTACTCCATTATAGTGATATGACATGTATACAGTAATGATTACTGTATACATCTCATATCACTATAATGGAGTACAGGGGAGGTGGGAAATACATTACTGTGTACAGTTTTATGTTTTGGACTCTTTATTCTAAAGAAAAATGTAATTTCATAAGCTTTAAGGGGTTGGGTTTGGGGCGGGCCGGGGGTTGGGTTTGGGGCGGGCCGGGGGTGGGTTTGGGGCGGGCCGGGGGTGGGGTTGGGGGCAGACCTGGGCAAGGTTGGGTGGGGCAACTGGTGGAGAGTAAGTTTTGCGACCGGCTAGTAGGTCTGGACTCGAAATTTTAACCCCTGCCTTAAAACACAGCCTGAATGATTTCTGACAGAGTGCACCAAAAGGATGAATCAATGAGTCAGAGTGCAAAGACAATCAATTTTTTGTCGTAAAGAAAGGTCCCAACAGATTTTAGGGGTTTAAAGCATCTCTTTCTTCAGGGCTTAAGAATAGACAATGCAGCCTAGAACTGCTGCAAAGAGATGTTAACTGCCTTCATAAATTGCCACATTGTGTGACCAGCAAAGAGTTGGCCTTTTCCGGTAAAAGGACATTTGATGTCTGATAACATTTAACTTCCCAGTTAGACTGATTTTCTTTACACTTATTCATCATTTTGGTGCTCTAAATTCTCTTTAATCCCAGATTGTACCCAGGGTCTCTACATTGTTATGGGCAGCTGTAGCTCAATAGCAGGCTTTCTGATTATTAATTTACTCCTGAATATTTTAATTTCATTCTATTTCAAGATCCAGTGCCACCCCCTATGGGAACAGAATGATTTTTAAGACCGTTTGGTAACTTATTATCAAGTGCAAACTAGTATGAGGCTAATGTCATCATCGCTTTTGTATCCCACAATAGGTGTGTGTAACTGCCAACATAATACAGCAGGTACACACTGTGAGAAGTGCATTGAAGGTTTCTATGGTGACAGTACTGTCGGATCCAGCTCTGACTGCCAACCATGTCCCTGTCCTGGAGGATCCAGCTGTGCGGTTGTACCCCGCACCAAGGAGGTAGTTTGTACCAACTGTCCTTTAGGAACAACCGGTGAGCAGGATATTATTTATTCATTCATTATAGGTTTACATTTTATTGCATTTCCCAGTGTATTTGTGCACCACCTACAGTAGTGTTCCCCACTATCATACCAGAAAAAGTAAAACCTGTTAAAATAAATTAGTAGTTAACTTGCTCAAATTCAGCCAGATATGATTCTTTGGTGAAATGCAAGGTCCCACTTATTATGCCAGGGCCCCCTCCCACTGTAATAATTATCTGGCGATAGTATGTACAAATTGTACCTGTAAAATGTACAGGGGTAAAGGGACGTTGCATTGTACTGCAAGGTCTGCCTTAAAGAATACCGGTGCTATGGTTGCCAAACGCTGTTTTGTTGGTCAGATGGTGTAAGTACTTTCCCTGAAAGTATTTTACAGTAGAAACCAATATCTTAACAACTACAAAGACGTAACTGCAAAGACAGTCAGTTTTGTCGTAAAGAAAGGTCCCACAGATTTCAGGGGTTTAAAGCATCTCTTTCTTCAGGGCTTAAGAATAGACAATGCAGCCTAGAACTGCTGCAAAGAGATGGCAACTGCCTTCATAAATTGCCACATTGTGTGACCAGCAAAGAGTTGGCCTTTTCTGGTAAAAGGACATTTGATGTCTGATAATGTTTAACTGTCCACATGTAACTGTTTTGATGCTGTCCACCAATAGCTGCCTCTAGATTTTTATTAGTACAGGTTTCTCTTAAAGTATAACTAAAGGCAACACTTGTTTTTTTTTTTTGCAGGGTTGCACCAATACCGATATCAGTGCCGATACTAAGCATTTGCACATGTACTTGTGCAACTGCTTCGATACCTGAAACCAATACCTTTGCGGTGCGATGTGAGCCCATACAAAGTGAATCAGCTTAAACCGCACTGCAAAGAATGCAATGCGATTCCTGTCTGAATCACATGTGGTTTCCCTTTTGGGTGCAGTGCAGTTTGAGCCAATCATTTTGTATGGCTCAAGTCACATTCCTGTTCAAATCACATGCGATTCTTTGCAGTGCGAAAGGTATAGGTATCGGAAAGTACTTGAGCAGAAGTATTGGTACTCGTACTCGCTGATAAAAAAAAAAAAAAAAAAAAAAGTATCCGTGCAACCCTGGCCTTTTAATTTTTTTATTTTGGACGGAATGGTGATGGGTTTGAACACCAATTTGTCTTTATTGCTGTCTGTGTTATGTGTTTTATTGAATGTGAAAATAAAAAAATGTTCTCAGAGAAGTAATAAAAGGGCAGATCTTCCAGTGGGGCAGTTTTGGTGACCTGGGGGGTTTGGCCAAGGTATTCCCTTAATTTGCAGAAATTTCCTCTCACTTCGTTTTGGCTATGGAACAGGACGTGAAGGAAAATCTCCCCAATATTGTCATTTACACTGCCAAGGTTGTGCCATCCTTCCTCCTATCTGCAGTTCTTTCGTAGCCAGAACTGCTGTAAATTGAACTTCTGTTTCTCGTCTCTTGAATTCCTCCTTCTTGTATTTCCAAAGAATATCCACTGGAATATATGAAGAATGCAATTAAGATGGTGCAGAATATCTGACAAGGGTTATAACTCTCCCTTACTTTTATCCACAATGAAAAAAAAAGTTTTGCTTGTAGTTCTGCTTGAAGCACTTGTAAACCTCATGCTTGCAGAATGTTCAATATTAATGATTGTTTATGGATATGCAGCTGTGACCTATAGCCAGTGGAATGGGAACCATATGTTGCTTTGTTACCTGTGATTATATTTGTGGTGGCTTCTTGTATAAGATTTACAATTCTGATATCCTGTCTTGTGTAAACATATGCTGCATTATATGTACTGTATATATGAACACAATCATCATCATCCGTCAACAGTAGTGTGGCCCTCCACTACTCTTAATATGAGCTCCGGGCATCTGTAAACTATGAAATACAGGGAATCAATTTCTCTGGAAATTCTTTGATGCGTTAATGATACACACACTCAGGGTTGCAGAATAATTTACTACACTTGCACAATACATGTATTTCATTAGTAGTGTAAATTATAAGACGAGTTCATAATTTATATTTAACTTCATTTTAATGTCACCGTTGCGACTCCCAACAGGTAAAAGGTGTGAGCTTTGTGACGATGGGTATTTTGGGGACCCGCAGGGCGAGAATGGAGCACCCCGGCCTTGCCGTGCCTGTGAATGTAACAGTAATATCGATCCAAATGCTGTGGGAAACTGCGATCGATTGACTGGAGAATGTCTGAAATGTATATACAACACAGCTGGATTCTACTGTGATCGCTGCAGGGATGGGTTTTATGGCAACCCATTAGGACCAACCCCAGACCAGAAATGCAAAGGTGAAACTCCTCCCTAACTTTTTTTTTTTTTTTTTTTTACTTTTCAGTAGACTGAGGCAGACGTTGTCCCTTTTGTCGTCATTTACACTGCCAAGGTTGTGCCATCTTTCCTCCTATCCGCAGTCCTTTCATAGCCAGAACTGCTGTAAATTGAACTTCTGTTTCTCGTCTCTTGAATTCCTCCTCGTATTTCCAAGGAATATCCACTGGAATATATGAAGAATGCAATTAAGAAGGACCAAACATTTATTGTACAGCAGAGCCTTAATTTTCACAGTAGGACCATCTCCTTTGGGTCATAGGCAGCCTCAGAGCAGGTACAGCAGCTCTAAAGCAAGCCAGAAAAAAAGTTTGTGAACAGTGAAATGGGCACGCTGTTGGTAAATTGCATTTCAATTGCAATTGTAGTGTATCTGTTCCTAAAGGTAAAGTCCACTTTAGGGGGATGTTTCATGTTAAACACATATATAGGGCTTAAAATAAAACACGGTTACATTTCCCAACCCACTATCCTTCAACACCTCCGACCCTCCCCCATCCCCCCACCTGAATCATAGGATTCTTCTCCCTGCACCATTCTGTTCTATTTTGAATTCAGCATGGCCGCATCATTCACAGATCCATTCACAGGGACACTATATGTACCATCTGCCTGTGCAGCAGAGTGACTGGTAGATCCCTATGGAGCACAAGTGCAGTGATGTCACCATAATTGTAGATCATTGATGACTTCCTTCAGCTCCATAACAGACTTGGGATTGGAGGAAGAGTCTGCAGCAAGCCTGTGCATTGCACCATGATTGACAAAATGACCATCATGGTTGGTAATGGGATGTTGTAGATGTGAGTTATGGGTACTGCAATATAACTGTATTAGTAATAAAAGTATCCGCACTATCTGTGATACTGGCACCCAGTAAATTGAAAAGGAAGCACATCAGTTGATGCATTGTGAAAATGACAGAGCAGATTGTTGGAAATGAAAACTGAGCATTTAAAATGTTTTATTTATAGATTTTATTTTTATGGGTTTTTTTAAGTATTTATTTTGAAAAGTGCAATAGAATCTTATTTTTGTACTCATGGAACCATAATTCTTTCCTTGCAGCCTGCAGCTGTAATTCCTTTGGCACAGTAAAGAGCCAGAATACATGTAACCAGGTGACTGGCCAGTGTGAATGCCTCCCATATGTAATGGAAAGAGACTGTTCAGCCTGTGAGCCCGGATACTACAACCTCCAAAGCGGTCGTGGCTGTGAGAAGTAAGAGCTCTGTTATGTATTTTCATGTTTGTATTATTCAGTGTCCTCTCTTGTGAAGAATATATTTTTTTGTATACACTTGAGGTCAGGCCACCCAACCCAGCTGGAGTTAATCTCATGTGATTGATCTTGCCATACAATCAGAATAATAATAATATGCTCTATATCAAAGTATCTAAAATAATGTCTGAATGTCCAAAATAGTTAGTGAAGAGGATAATCAGGGATAGCCAATAAACACGCTTATTAGTATAACCCACACATGTGTCTTTTCTTTGTCAATAATTGGCGTGTAAGTGGGTCCTTTTTTTTCTTTTTCTTTTTTTTCTTTTTCTTTTTTTTAAATGCAAACATTCACACTGACTACTTAAGATCATGCAAAAAATTCTGTGTTCAACTTACAGTATATGTTTGTTCATTCTAAAGATTCTCTTAGCTGTAGTAAAGGAGAAACCATTACAATTGTAACACAGATGTATTTAATATGTTTTAGGCTCCATTCACACTTGTGCGACCTGTCATGCGACTTTGGACACACAAAGTCGCATGGCAGGTCACTGCCCATTGTTTTCAGTGGCACGCATTCAGATCTACACGACTTTCAAAAGGTTCCTGCACTACTTTGATGTGACTTTGATGTAACTTAGTGCCAGAGAGTGTAAAGCTGGACCCAAAAGGCACTCAGTCATATCAAAGTTGCACTGAAAAAGTGTGAATGGAGCCTAAAGGTTTTATTTGTATCACATGTAAAAAAATAGCGCCACTTAAATGCCTCTTATTCATTCTTCAGTTGGTTCTCCTCCCACGGTAAGTGCCATTTCCCCTCTAGGAGTACATCTCACTCCATTGTTGCAATCTCAACAGCAAAATTGGGGGGTGCACACCACGTCGTTCAATCATATCTGCTGGTAAGCTAACAGAGGTTTCAGCTACAATCCCCAAATCTTGCCCCTCCTGAGATGTTTCACCCTGATTGGACTTAGTCATAGAGGTCACCTCTACAACCTCTGAATAAGCTGAGCTAGGGTGACACATTGGCAATGTTAAGATGTGGGGACTATAGCTGAAGCCTCTGTTATCTTACCAGTCAATATTGTTGATCTATGTGGTGTAGGCCCCTAATTTTTCTATTGATCTTTATTTTTATACTGCTCAGTATATTGCTGGACTCTCAAACTACTCGTATTGCCATTAGGAATTTTATTAGCAATGTTTTATTGAAACGAAGAGCAACTACAAAATGGGTTTAGGCAGATTAATGTTTGTATTCATCTTTTAAAATATAGCAATGTAAATCATGAGCCACTCAGTCAATTTACGAAACTAGCAGTCACTTAAATATGGACCTATTGTTTTTATGTAAATCAGCAAGGTACATTTAGGCATTACCATATCACTTTACTATCAGGAATAAAAAAGTAATACTCATGATTAAGTTTAATAAAAATACTGCTGTTGCTCAGCCCAGATCACATGGTCATTTACTGCCAGTCGTTACTGCACAGAGTCTTTTGTCTTCAGTTAGTCAGTAATGTTTTTCTTGTTAGATGTGAGTGCCATCCCCTGGGATCTACAAATGGCCAATGTGACATTCATACTGGGCAGTGTGAGTGCCAGCCTGGCATCAGTGGAAAACGCTGTCAGCAATGCGAACCCAACCATTTTGGCTTTGGACCAGAAGGGTGTAAACGTGAGTGTGTTGTAACCCAATCAAAATACTTGTGATACTTGTCTCCGTAGCATGCATCTTTTTACATTGGAGGGCTATTAGTTTTAATGTAATAAAGGGTCACTTGTTTACTTGTGTTGCACAGCATGTGACTGTGACCCAGAGGGCTCCTTCTCGCTGCAGTGCAAAGAGGATGGGCGATGCGAGTGCAAGGATGGCTTCGTAGGACTCCGCTGTGATCAATGCGAGGAGAATTACTTCTACAATCGCTCAGGCCCTGGCTGTCAAGAGTGTCCTGCCTGCTATCGCTTGGTTAAAGACAAGGTGATTTATCTGTACCACATAGACTTGGCATATTCCACAGCAGCCTGTATTGTTTATTCCTAGCCATTTACTCAGTACCCATTTCAGCATGATTTTTAGTATTCAGTAGGTTTTTTTGACTTGCCTGATATGTGTATTTGTTCCACATAGCATTGTCACCAATGGTTCAGCACAATAGCTAGGTCCTTGGCATTTTAAGAAGCAAGTTAGCAATGATAGCCCCCCCTGTATTTTTTTTTTTTTTTTTGTTTAAATGTCCTTATTACATGTCGGTAAGTGAAACCATCTGGTGACTGCTGGCTAACGTGATTTGGATATTTAACTATAATAAACCCTGAAATTTGCATCATACCCCGAGTGCATGAAATTCCTCTGCTAAATGAAGCAGTAGCTGAAGTCTAAAAGGCTGCCGAGCCATAGGGATGATCTCATCATTCTGCTGCTGCCCCTTCTCAGTCTGGGGGGGCAGGGAGGTTACAGATCTGTACTGCTTATTTGCAGCAGAGAAAAGTTATGTCACCAACTTAACTCTGCTGCTTAGGAGGGCTGGGTAAATTTAGAAATGAAAGAACAGGAATACTACTATTCTTATTATTCAGGATTTATATAGCACCAACAGTTTGCTCAGCACTTTACAATATAACGGGAGACAATACAGCAACAATACAGTTCAATACAAGAGGGTTAGGAGGGCCCTGATCCTGGGAGATTACAATCTAAGAGGGAGGGGCTAGTGGTATAAAAGGTAATAACTGTGGGGGATGGACTGGTAGGAGGAAGAGAAGATTCCATTATTAGCTGAAGGCAGGATAGGCTTCCCTGAAGAGAGAGGTTTTCAGAGATCGCCTAAAAGTGAGAATAGTAGGCGATAGTCTGATTGGGGTAGAGGGCTCCAGAGGATGGGGGAAGCTCTGGAGAAGTCCTGGAGACGAGCATGGGAGGAGGAGACAAGCAAGAGAGTAGGAGGTCGTGTGGAGAGTACGGTTTGGGTGATATTTGGAGACAAGATCGGTGATGTAATTTGGGGCAGAGTTATAAATGGCTTTATATGTTATTGTTAATGTTTTGAATTTTATTCATTGGGCAATGGGAAGCCAGTGGAGGGATTGGCGGAGAGGGATGGCTGATACAGAACGGTTAGTAAGGTGGATGAGTCTGGAAGCAGCTTTCATGATAGACTGAAGAGGGGATAGTCTGCTATGAGGTAGGCCAATGAGGAGGGAATTACAATAGTGAAGGCAAGAGATGACAAGGGAGTGAATAAGTTGCTAAGTAGTTTCCGAGGTTTATAACGGGCGTATCTTGGAGTTGTTGCGGAGGTGAAGTCTACAAGATTTGGACAGTGATTAGATTTGGGGCTGAAAGGACAGATGGGAGTCTAGGATTACACCTAGTACCCTGGCATGAAATACAAATAATTTGACAGACAGAACAGCTCCTACATATACAGTATATATTTGAACAGTGTATTTAGTGGCTTTCCTGGAGTTTAGTGTAAAATCAAGGTTAGATGCCTGGGATCCTAACTTAGTTATGTTGGTAAGTGTGATCAGATGTTGATCTTCCTTTTTCTCATTCATTAGGTGATAGATCAAAGAGAGAAACTGCAAGAACTGGAGGAGCTTCTGAAGAACTTGGGAACTGGAGATGAAACCGTCACTGATCAGGGCTTTGAGGAGCGACTTAGAGAGGCTGAAAAGGCAGTCAGTGACCTCCTTATTGATGCCCAAGGCAGCAAAAGTACAGTCACATTACTTTTGTCATGTCATTTCTGTAGTTAACCACTTCTGCTTTCTAGAAGTCTCATTAACACGAGGATGTTTCTTCTTAGATGTGGATCAGGGAATGCTGGACCGCCTGGGAGAGATAAATGCCACACTAAGTTCTCAGCTGGGACGTCTGCAAAACATCAGAGATATGATCCGCGACACTGACAAACAGGCGCAGGAAGCCCGAGATCGTGTGGAGAGCACTGAGCTCATCATTGACTCTGCAAGACTTCAGCTGGAGAAAGCCAAGTTGGCCATTGCTAATGTGGTAAGAACCAGAAGGGATCTGTGTGAAGCTGAAACCACAGCCTGGCTGCATCTTCTAGCAGAATCTAGAGTAGTAGTCGTCTTCAGAGTATTTTCTTATAATGCAGAGTGTAACACACAGTAGAATAAAAGCTGTATGGAGAAATGTATCTGTCCCATCTTACTTTTTCCTATAGTTACATTGTTCTTAATTATGAGAGGTAGCACACATAAACTAATAGTATGAAAAATTGGTAATCGTCACCATTTCAAGCCTAACAGCCAATTTAAAAACATTTTTGTATTTGATATAGACGTTTTGTTTTCTTTTGTAACCCCGAAAGTGATGGGAATCTCCATGATAGAAATGCACACAGAAGTGAGAATCTGACCCTTCCCCAAACTTTCCAAAGTGAAATAAAGTGTTTTTGGCTTTTGTTATGCCTTAATTAGTGTTTTCCTGTTAATTACTCTTCTTTATTATTTAATTTTTTTGCCTAACTTCGTAAAGTATACAGGCAAATAGTATTTTTTCTTTCCCTAATCTTGTTCATGGTCTAATTTGATTTTTTTTTCTGATCTTTCTTACAAATGTTACATACATTTGCTTATATAAACAACAGGATTTTTGCAAATGTGAACAGCTTGGAATGTAAGTTTATGACTTTCATAAAACATTACTTGTTTGGTTTTAGTCTATCACTCCACCAGAGACAACGGGTGATCCTAATAATATGACATTGCTGGCAGAGGAAGCAAGGAAACTGGCTGAAAGGTAAGAGACCTCTGAAGTGTAATACTAAAGCAGGAAAACGTGGCAAAAAATGATTCCATTATTTTGTTTAGTGATGAACGTCCTAATCCTTAAGCTCCCGTACCTTTGCTAAGGCTTGTATGCCTTGCCTAGACGGGCCTGACTTTTTATGTACAGGCCAGTCAGAAGTAGGTTAAAGACAAGCTAGAGGCAACTTGGCTTAGCATTTTTCTCATGCACATTCTTCAGAAGGTTTTTCTCCTGTTAACTCTTTGGTTTGGTCTTCCCAGGCACACACAGGAAGCACGGGAGATTGAAAAGGCTGCTAAGGAAGCCAATGACACAGCAAATGAAGCTTACCGTCTGTTACTGAAGACACTGGCTGCAGAGAATCAGACTGCAGCTGATATTGAAGACCTGAATAAGAAGTACGTTCTACCATCTATAACCCGTTACATAAAACTATAGTACTTTACTACCTCTGCTGCGTTTTTAAGACTACACCACTTTAATAGGGAAAAACCTCTCTACATATGTAAACCTTTCTTTCCTGTACTCATCAGGTACAATCAGGCTAAGGATCTGGCCAGGGAATTGGAGAAACAGGCCACAAAAGTACATGCAGAGGCTGAAGAAGCAGGGAATCGGGCACTGCAGATCTATGCTAACCTCACTAGTATTCCTCCAATCGATACCACGGGATTGCAGGTAGATGCCACCCTGGTGTATTGACCTTACATGACCCTCATTTCTGAATAATCCATAAACCAGCTTGTATAGCATATAATGCCAGCACCATATAGTTTATGGGCCACAATTTCTGCTTAGGCCTAATTCACAATAAAAACAGAGAATGGGTAGTTAGGTTTCCAGCAAAGCTTTGGTATTATAACAGAATCTGGTAAAACTGATCTAGCACAGATAGTGCTGCTGAAGAAGACTGAAATACCCAACTTTCGAATGCGCTGACAGACTTCTGTGAGCAAGGGTTGCCAGTTTTCAGCATTATTTTTATGTATTTGTTAATTCACAATCCGTCATGAAGACTTGTCTTGAGACATATACAGTACATCAGGTTTTGAGAAATTTGCTTTGAACCTAGGAGCCAACTAAAAAAGTTAAGGGAAAGGACTTTGTGGGACTGTCCTGGACTCTAGGGTTCCAGAACACTGGGCTGTGCTCCACTCTGGGGTGTGTTAGAGGAGCCTGCTGAGAATACAGGTTGGGGGAGCACAGGGCGGTATGGGTTGGCGGGGGCCCAAGCACCAGGACATGGTTTCTGCTTGCCGTGGTGACCAGGTGTCTGGGAATTGTCAATCCCTGCAGTACATATATACCATTTACCACCACCTCTTGAGTTGCTGACCCAGTAAAACTCAAGTACTAAAAAAAAAAAAAAAAATCCTGATCTACAGCTTTATTCTTGGAAAGTGGTTCAAAACCAGTAAGTTATAATGTATAGGGTTATTGTAAGCTCTTTGAATTCTTGAGTCTGTGTGTGAGAGTGAGATAATTATTGGCCAACATATTGCAGTCTTTTACATCAGTTGCACTATATGCTTATTACATTATTGCAGTTTTTCGTACTGAATATCTACCTCTGCGTTTGCTCACCTTTTGATGATAAATAGAGGTTAAGAGTGGAAGATTTATAGTAATGGTTAATGATTACTAAGTCTTGGGTAGGTGCTGTGGGAATGCACACAAGTAGGTTTTTTAAAGTTGCCTTTCCAAAGATGAATGAATGCTGATTACATAGAGGGAAGTTAATGAATTAATGATTACCTTTTGAATTGTAGTTTGGATAATTGCTGTCATTGAGTCTTCTACAGGTCATGTAATACTCTGCCTGATGGGCAGACGTGGTCTAGTTCCAGCAAAGGTTTAATTCATAATCCATCCTACTGTCCTTTGATCTGTGCAGAAGAATATATAGAAGAAAGTTCATGCAGTGATTATGTCTACTTTCTTAGGAATTTGCACTGGAAAAGTAAGATCAGATGTACAGGTTTCACATCCCACGTACTTGGCAGTGGAAAATCTTCAAATGTACCTGTAAGCTCTTCATGAAGAAATGAAGCAATAGGCTCATGGAAACACCATACATACTGCAGTCTGCAGGCTTGTGTGCAGTGTTCACATTATGTATGTCATAGGTGTATAGTTTCCAAGCAGTAATGGGTACACAGTATGAAGAGACTACTGCACATTTTTGCCTTGCTCACATGGGGGTACTTAAACATATGCCTATGTGAGGACTGTGTTTTCCCACATGGGATGCACAGGTATTCTGTGCATCCCCATGCAAGCAGTCACATTCATGTCATTTTGGAGGCAGTGGCGGTGCAGACACCGATCCTCCAAATTTCACAGGTGTGCGGGGTGCGCCTGTGAACGAGACCTTGGAGGGATCAAAATCAATAATAAGCACTGGTTAACACATTTGATTACTCCCATTAATCTGACTTTATACAAATATTATTTCCTCAAAGGTCAGAAAATGTGCCAGTTGAAAGGAAATGTTCTTCTGACAGCAGTTGTTCAACTCAGATCTACAATAATTGGTTGTCTATTGGTCACAATAACTGGCACTGGAGCAGTATCATGTGAAAAAAGGGGCGCATAACCCTCATGGAGAACAAGCAATTGACAATAAAATGAACAGTATGACCCCCACCATTCTTAAAGCGGAGTTCCACTCACTCTGTAAAAATAATAAGTCAGCAGCTACAAAATTGTAGCTGCTGACTTTTAAAAAACAGCCACTCACATGTCCCACGATCCCGCGTTGCCCCCCCCCCCCCCCCCCCCCCCCCCCAGCCCGTTTTACCAGCCGTTCTGTATTTCAAGAGGCCAGCATCTTCAGTGTGGGCACCTTGTAGTGACGACAGCTTGCGGCTTCACAGCCGGGTGCCCTCTGCGCATGCGCAAGTAGCGCTGCTCTTCCTGAATGGCCCCTTCGTCTTCGGGGACCTGTCACGTGTCCCACAAGACTTCGGGGAGGGAATGTAGGAGGACAACTTCCGTTTCCGATCGCTTAGGCGATCGCAGCGGAAGGTGGAGCGCGTACCTGTGAAATTTGGGTACCCGTTCCCCCCCCTTCCCCCTGCTCCCCAAATGTGCCAATCCTTAATGGGGAGCGGGGGACCAATCTTTAAAGCGGAACTTCCCCTTTTGGGTGGAACTCCGCTTTAATCAACCTACAAGTTGAGGTGGTCTATCACATGACAGCTGAAGATGAGAAATCTGTTTTAGACATTCTACTCCCAAATTCCAGTTTCATTCTTACTGGATATTGAAAAACTACATATATTTTATTCAATAATTGCTTTCTTTGCTTTTCAGAATGAGGCTGGAAAAATTCAGAAGGAGGCTGAAGAACTGGATATGCTTATTGATAGGAAATTGAAAGATTATGAAGATCTGCGTGATGACATGAGAGGTCGGGAGGCAGAAGTCAAACGTTTGCTTGACAAAGGCAGAAGTGAACAGCAGGTGGGTCCATAGCCTGTTTCTTTCCTGGGTTCCTTGTCATGTGGCATACACTCTTAAAGTGGTTGTAAAGGCTCGAGTTTTTTTTTTTTTTTTTTTACTTTCATGCTTTCTAAAAAAAACCCATTATGTCACCAACTCCCTGGACAGTTGTGCTTTTTTGTTGTCATTCTGTTACATAAGCTGTAATGTGGACTTACAAGTAGTTGTTCTGACACACTTTGCTCAAGCATTGTCCACTATTGCCATTATCCAGAAGCCGATCTTGAGCTATGATGCTGTAGCCACCGCTAGGATGAGAACATGTAGAAAGGGAATGACTGGAACAGATCTGCTGCACTTGAGATACTAAAAAAAATGCACATTTTAGGGGAAAAAGTTGTCAGTTTGATACACAATGCTTTAGTAGTCTCTGTATCACTTGGTTAGAGTTGAGATCTTTAAAACAAAGTAGTTCAGAAAATAATTTTTGCTATGTGAGGCCACCTAGACATATTCAACCTGTTGTACTAAGCCTGTTACCTAGAAAATAGAGCGAAAATCCCCTCTGTAATATCTCCACCTGCTTTGAATCTTGATACGATTTGTCCTGAGGCTTTTCCCATCTATACAGCATTGCATGTTATGGTATGTCAGCGTGTCAGCCTTGAATGTCCTTTCTATCCTTGTAAATATTAGTGTGAACACTTGATCTAATCTCATTTAGAGTGTTTAAAGGATTACTCCCAAACTGTATATGCAGTTCTATTTTAATAGACATGCGATAGTCACTCCGTTTGTAGCAGGAAATAACTTCTACTGATAAGAGTGTGGGTATGTGTGTATCAAGTATATTGCTTTCATAGTAATAATAATGAACAATCGTCATATCTTGTTAATTAGTAAGCACAGAATTTGTTGGTTTTACTGTGTGGGACATCTATACACATAGTAGGAAGTAACACTGAAGGCTGTCTTGGGGCCATGGACCTCCTTTGCCCTGGAGCCTAGCAGTATTAAAGTGGACTTGTAAAAAGATTTTCACTTAAATGTTGTTAATCTTAAAAATATTAATAAAAAGGGCTTAGATATATACAGAAAAATGCTAATACAAACCCTTTCCAATGCTTGTCTAAAGGGAAGGACCAGCTAGTCTAATCCATTGAAGCCTCCGTTTAGTAGAGAATACATGTCCAATGCCTAGACTTTTATTTGAGCAGCATAAGAGAGAGCTGAGAGCAGCAGCATTTTCTCCAGGAAAGGTTTAGAAGAAGAGGAGCTTCATTGCAGATAAGACATACAGTGACAGAATTGATAAAAGACTGAATATGTTAGAGTCTGCAGCAGCTGTGCATGGCAACCTGTCAACTACTAGCTTTTCCTTTTCATAAGATTTATAAGTCTACCTGTTAGCAATTTTTCACATTAGAATGATTGACTACTTCCATTTTAGGATTTTTAAGTTTTGCTTGTTTGAAATCTTTTATTTTCCTTGATTTTTCATAAAAAGGACTGTTTTCTCTCATGTTAAACAGATGTTTTATTCTTGCACTGCACTGTCCATTTGTTTTGACCTGTTGTGCCCAGACTGGTCTGTAACACATCTGTCGCTTGTCTCTTTAGACTGCTGATCAGTTACTTGCTCGAGCAGATGCTGCAAAAGCCCAAGCTGAGGAGGCAGCAAAGAAGGGTCGCACCACACTGCAAGAGGCCAACGACATACTGAACAACTTGAGAGGTTAGGAAGTTTTTTGATATATAGCTAATTCTGTTTAGATTCCCTTTGAAAACAGTCAGGTAATGCTGTTTCTGTTCCTTATTCTGTGTCATTTCTTATGTGATGTAACTTCTCTTTCTCTCCAACTCAGACTTTGACAAGCGAGTGAATGACAATAAAACAGCAGCCGAAGCAGCTCTGCGGAGGATCCCTGCCATCAACCAGATCATCGCTGAAGCCAACAATAAGACACGCCAAGCTGAAAGCGCACTAGGCAATGCCAATGCTGATGCCAGAGGAGCAAAGAGCAAAGCAGAGGAGGCTGAGAAGAGATAGCAAATGCTGTCCAAAAGGTAAGAAACTTGTTGCTAGCACTTCACGACAATCAAGAGATCCTCCCAAAGGAAAATAAAGAGCACAATTGCTTTTCCTGTCCATATCAATAGATGCTGACGAAGCAAAATCGCCAGAGGTATTACAAACACAAAAATACACAGTGCATGCAGTGATCTGCAGTACAATTTATATCTGTAGGCCTTGGCTCTGTCAAACTGCATCACATACAGTCTGTAAAAAGAGCATATTGCAATACACTGCACTTGGGTCTTTGCTACAAGTGTCCTGCACTTAATCTTCAGTGCAATCTTGTGGCAAACCAAAGGAAAACCATACGTGTGAACAAACTCAGAGAATGCTTGACTAAAAAGACCTTCCAGTGCGGACAGACATCTTGGAATGACGGTCATGTGATGTTGGCAGTCTCTCCTGACCTGTTGCAAACCTATATGTGTCAGAAATGTCACAAGGCCTCCTAATCGGAGGGTCTAAAATCAGGATGTAGCTTGTCCTATGCTGTCTGAGGATTATCAGAGGTGATGGCTCCAGACTACAATTTACACAGGAGATGCTGACTTGACTACTGTGCAGTAATACTTGATTGAAATATTAGACTATTTAATGATAGGTTGTCCTCTAATCTGGTCAAGGTTCTTGCCATACACATTAAAAAGTGGTCAGAATGTCCAGTCACCGAATGATTGCTAAGGTAATATGCACTCTTTTTGCCTAAATGTGCAGAATTAATGACTATAGAGAACAGAATGGCCAGCAGTGTTAATTTAATTGACTAATCATTTTCGTCTTTTTTAGTTAACATATTTTCAGTGACTAAAACTAAATAAAAACTAAGTTATGGTGACTAAAACTTCAACAAAAATCTCATGACATATTCGTCAACTGACTAAAACTAGACTAAAATGTTAGGGAGAAAAGTATTACAAAGAGATGAAATCAGAAATATTTTTTTGGACTTAAGTCTGTGTTTTTATTGCTTGCTCTGTTTTTTGGTGGCTTAACCCCGTCCTTCCTAAGTGATAACAGGGTTAATAGATATTTACTCCAGGAATATTTAATAATGAAATTGTAGGGAAATGCTTAAATAATGCATCACACTTTAACTTATAACCCATTCGATTGGACGTGACTAAATCTACCGTAGATCTAGTCGCTTAAAATCATATTCTATTTTGTCAACTAAAACTAAAACCTTTCAGACTAAAATGTGACTGAAACTAAATGGCATTTTAGTAGACTGGCTAAAAACTAAATCAAAACTAGCTGTCAAATTAACACTGGTGGCCAGAAATTCCCAGTGACAACCTTCTTCAAGAAACAGGAACATCCAACCCAGCTGATCATAGGATTGCCCTCAGGAGTGTATGCTACTACCTAACAATATAGATCAATCGGCCATGACATTATCAACACCCACTGAATATTGAGTTTGTCACCCTTTTGCTGCCAGAACAGCCTTGACCCATTGAGGCATGGACTGCACTAGGCCTCTCAAGGTATGCTGTGGTGTCAAAAAAGAAAATCTGCACTAGTTCATAATGTGCAAATCTGCAGCTGTCACAATACCTTAACACCAGGCATACAGAATCTTATATATCAAAGTGCAGAACATAAATAAATAATCAATTGTGAAACCAATATTCATATATATATGTGCGATACCAGATACTATCTGGTAAAAGTACTTAAAGATAAAAGGCAATAATCAGTTGTGAATACTTTGATATACAAGATGCTGTGGTATTGGGCACCAAGCTGTCAGTAGCAGATCCTTTAATTCCTGTAAGTTCTGAGGTGGTGCCTCCATGGATCGGACATCCCATAGTGCATCCTTGAGATGGCACATGGCCAGCCACATGACGTAAAAGAAATTGTGATTTATCAGACCAGGCCCCCATCTTCCATTGCTCCGTGGTCCAGTTCTGATGCTCACGTGCCCCTTGTAAGTGCTTTTGGCTGTGGAAACAAGTCAGGATGGGTGCCCTGACCACTCTGCGGCTATACAGCCCCATGCACAACAAACTGTGAAGCACTGTGTGTAGCTCTGCTATTGGATTCTCTGCCCACGTGCATCAATAGGCATTGTCTGCCCATGACCCTGTCCCTGGTTTTCCTTTCTTAGACCATTTTTGGTAGGTCCTGACCACTGAAGACCGGGACCTCCCACAAGAGCTGAAGTTTTGGAGTTGCTTTGACCCAGTTGTCTAGCTATTACTATTTGGTCCTTGTCAAAGTCACTCAAATCTTTACACTTGCCCATTTTTTTCTAATTTCAACAATTCAACTTCAGGGACTACATGTTCACTTGCTGCCTATAACATATCCTGCCTACTTTCAGGTGTCATTGTAACAAGATAATCACTTTACCTGCCAGTGGTCATAAAGTTTTGGCTGATCGGTGTAATTGGCCTATCTAATGTCTCTTGCTACCTTTTGCACGTATATTGTGTTTGGTTGTATGTTCATCATTTGTATGTAAAGTTACATTTACAAGAATGTAAAGTAGTTTTCAGCAGGTGAAAAACCCCTTTTATAGGCAGTTCTATATAATCACATAGTGAAGAAGCACTCGATAAATAGAGGGTAGATATACTAGAGTGTCTGGCCCATATTGCCTCCTCCTGTGTTTTCTGCTTGCCTGTTGTCTGAGATGAAAGTGCTTCGTTCTCCTGACACTGCACACATCTGGTCTGCTGAGTATTTCTCAGAAATGTCAAGCTTTCCCGTCTAGTCATTATCAGCTTAGGGTCTGTTTTCTGTTCTGTCCAGTCATAGTAGAAAAACAGCACATCTAATTGTAAGCTTGCAGGCTGAGCTTTCAGGAAAACAAGGCAGTTTTGCTATCTGTACCTTATTAAGAGAGTTAAAGATACTAAGTACTTAAAGATAAACTTAAGCTCTCTCAGGAATCGCAGTCTGCAAGCTGATTGGCTGAAAAATTTGTGTTTATTTGGCAGTAAATTATCTTATGAAACGTGTTCTATGTTCAGATCACTGCCCTATGTAGTTTACAGAGAGCTATAGGTTGCTAAGAACAGTGTCACTTGAAAAGAAATAGTGATCCCTCCTAAGGTACAGGCAGGGCTGTCTTTAATATTGACTGGGCCCTGGGCAAACATCTTCTTGACACCCCCTTCCCCCCTTACTCTGAGACATACAAAAAAAATTGCAGATAGACTCAAAATACCTTTACTGCAAAAGATCACACAGTGATTACAGTTGGTTGCCAGATGTTACAGCTTGCTGATTGGTTGCTAGAGGTTACTGCACATTATTACTGCTGTCTGGTTGGTTGGTATAGATTACTGTTTATCTTTACCTCTCACTGCTGATTGAGTTCCAGAGGTTACAGCACATCATTACCGCTTACCAATTGCGTGCTAGAGGTTGCAGCACATCATTACCGCTTACAGATTGGTTGCTAGAAATTACAGCAGATCACTACTGTTCACTGACTGGTTGCTAGAGGTTACTACACTAACGCTCACTGAGCAAGTGGAGCAATCCCCAATAATTGAGCTAGTAAACTGCCACATTTAAACACATACTACAGGAGAGGACCAGAGACTACAGACGTACTACAGGAAATGACCTTTCAGCAATACACAGCTTTACAGTTTTGAACAGCTCAGAGTTTGGTATAACAGTCCATAGGCAGTCTATGGGAGGTGGACATACCTGGCCAGCTGGGCTTAGCATCCGCTCTGAGTTCAGGGTGTGGGGCTTCCACTCAGGTTTCAGCTCCTACTACGGGCTGCATGAGGTGGGGTCAATGGAGCTCCCTGCTGGCTGGGGAATACAACGTTGTCTCCAGTGCCATGGCTGGGGTCCCATTTTGTGGGCAGCACAGGCTTTAAGGGGCAGCTGCTATGGGCCCAACAACAAAGACAGGACCCAGGGCAGCTGTTCCTTTTCCCTCTCGTTAAAGACTGCCCTGGGTACAGGGTGACAAGGCTTCCCCAGTTTGGTTGTATGGGCTAGGAGGTATCTCATATTAACTGCCTCCCGCCCGCCAAATAGTAATATGACGGACGCAAGGTGGTTCTCTCACGTCCTCCCATTCTCACCGCGCATGCGTGGCTC